CCTATATCTAGGTAGAAATTGTTATTATTATTTGTTTGTATGTGCTGCTCCTAGGACTTGAACTCAGAGCCTGGGCACCATCCTTGAACTTTTCTGCTATCACCCTACTTGAATCACAGTTCCACTTCTGGCTTTTTGATGGTTAATTGGTGATAAGAGTCTCATGGACTTTCCTACCTGAGCTGGCTTTGAACTACAATCCTCAGATTTCAGCCTGCTGAGTAGCTAGGATTACAAGTGTGAGCCACTGACACCCAGATTTCTTTGCTTTGTTTCACTAATAAATTATGTCTGTCTCCTACTTTAATTTGCATCTTGTTCTGAAATTCTTTTCTGTGATGGGAGAATACGCAGGGTTCAAGAGTTAAGGCTTCATGCCTTCCAGGAACCTCCTCTGATGCCATCTGGTAACATAGTTTTTCTTTGAATAGCAGGAGGCAAGTGAGGCCTATTTAATTGTACATTGAAAGTTACAGATATGTTATATGTGGTTAATAAATATACCAGAGAAATCTAATCATCTCTCCCTCCACACATCTCTAGAGACAGAACTTAAGATATACTTTGATGGTGATATACATATATATGTATGTTTCGTTATATATATGCATATAATTTCCAAACAAAGGAAACCCTTCTGATCTGTTAATAGTTATTCTAAGCATTCAATATTTAGAAGAGATATCACAAAGTACCTAAAAATGATTTTTTTTTGTATTAGACTGGCTGGCTTAAGCAAAACAAATTGTGTGTGTGTGTGTGTGTGTGTGTGTGTGTGTGTGTGAGGTCCTGGCACTATCCCTTAGCACTTTTTTTGTTGTTTTTTGTTTTTTGGGTCCAGTCCTGGAGCCTGAACTCTGGGCCTGGGTGCTGTCCCTCAGCTCTTCAGCTCAAGGCTAGCACTCTACCACTTGAGCCACAGTACCACTTCCAGCTTTTTCCTTTTTGCTTATGTGGTACTAAGGAATCGAACCCAGAGCCTCATGCATGCAAGGCAAGCTCTCTACCACTGAGCTACCTTCCTAGCCCCATCCCTTAGCGTTTTTATTCAAGGCTAGTGCTCTACCACTTGAGCCACAGTTCCACATCTGACTTTTTGGTGCTTAATTGTAGTCTCACAGACTTTCCTGCCCATGCTGGCTGGGAACTGTTATCCTCAGATCTCAGTCTACTGAGTAAGTAGTATTATCAACGTGAGCTCTGGCTGCATATTTATTTTTCTTCTGAAGCCTCTCTGCTGGACCTGTGGGTTACTATCTTCTCCCCGTGTCTGCATGTAACAGCTGTGTAGAAATAACTTTTGTTGAAAATCACTGACCCCTCATTTGGGCTCAACAGGTAACTGAAAGCAGAATAAAAGCTTGACACCCTTGCCACTATTTTGCATCTCTCTCCTTTACCACTCACCCTTTGCCAATCACTCTGTGGTCATCTTGTACTCCAGGAGTGACAGGACTGATCATAATATCTTCATATCAAGGGACCAAAACTACCTCCAGGGAACAGTGGAACCTTATAAGAAAGATACCACCTTACAAAGAGGATAATCACCTATAATGACAAGCCTGTACCCCAGAGCAGAAGTAATCATCTCATTGGAATCAGATTACTCCCCTCAAGTGATAACACAACTTCTCTGCAAGCTTGAAGAGCCAGGTCTGAAGTAATCATGGAGCAGGCCACACTTTGCCCAGTGCTATTTAATTGTATGTGCTTCTTACCTATTGCCTAGGTTCTTCCTCTACTTAAGCCTAAAGCTCATGTCAGAATCCCCCCAATGGGTTGCAATGCTTACCTTTAGTACATTGGTTAATATCTGCTTCCTCAGCATTTCATTACCACTTGTCTTTTTAATGGGCATGGCGGTAAGTAGCCAGCTCTGAAGTGTTGGACCCTCCTAGGCCTCTAGTCTGGGACTGCAGTTATATTCACTCACTCTTTTTCTTCCATGTACACATTTGTGTGTTCTATATCTGTGTGTTCTGGTGTCTTCATAGAGAGGCACCAATAAATCAAATTAAGGCCCTCCCATGTAACCTCATTGCAACTTGAATATTTAAGATCCTATCTCCAAATACTATTGCATTTAGAGATGTCACAAAGTACCTAAATATATGATTTTTTGTATTAGACTGGCTGGCTTAAGCAACACAAATTGTGTGTGTGTGTGTGTGTGTGTATGTGTGTGTGTGTGTGTGTGTGTGTATGTGTGTGTGTGGTCCTCACTATCCCTTAGCGTTTTTATTCAAGGCTAGTGCTCTATCACTTGAGCCTCAGTTCCACATCTGACTTTTTGGTGCTTAATTGCAGATAAGGGTCTCACAGACTTTCCTGCCCATGCTGGCTGGGAACTGTTACCCAGGATTTCAATGGAGAATTTTGCAGGGGAGCCAGCTTGGTTCATAACACTTTTAAATGGGAAAATAGAGGGCAGAATCAGGTATTAATACATTTTCTTCACATTTATGTGTGTGTGAACTTAAGTAAATACAAGGATATCCAGTAATGAAAGTTACAAGGACAGTTTGAGCATGTAGGTTAAAAAAAAAGTGTTGGGGCTTAGTGGTAGAGTGCTTGCCTAGCATGCATGAAGCCCTAGGTTAGATTCCTCAGTACCACATACACAGAAAAAGCTGGAAGTGGCACTGTGGTTCAGGTAGTAGAGTGCTAGCCTTGGGCAAAAAGAAGCTTAGGGACAGTGCCCAGGCCCTGAGTTCAAGCTCCAGGACTCGCAAAAAAATTGTCAGGGTCCAGATACTTGTACTCTGTGTGTGTGTGTGTGTGTGTGTGTGTGTTTATGTGCATGTGTGTGTATGCATGTGTGCATGCTACACTGTAGTTTAACTCATGGCCTGGGCTCTGTCCCTGAGCCTCTCTGTGCTCAAGGCTAGTGCTCTACTACTTGAGCCACAGCACCACTTCCAGTTTTTTCTGTTTATATGGTATTGAGGAATTGAACCCAGGGCTTCATGTATGCTAGGTAAGTAGTCTAGTACTAAGCCACATCCCCAGCCCTCTCATAGACTTTCCTACCTGACTCTGCCCTCTATTTCCCCATTCACAAGTGAACCATGATCCTCAGCTCTGCCTTCTGAGTAACTAGGATTACAATTGTGAGCCACTGGTGCCCAGCCAAGTAAATACTTTTAATTTTTTTTTCTGCACTAATTTTGTAAGTTTGATGTGAAAATATATTATTGTATTTGTTGCTCAGCATATGAGTTGCTTGTTGTATAAGTTGCTTAGTAGTAGAGCACTTAACCTAAGAAGCACAAGGCTCTGGTTCAATGCCCACCAACACACACATACACACACACACACAATACCTACTTACACATTAAACTAAATAAAGTAGTCAAATTCTAGGCAAGCATTTCTAAAGATCTACTTTCTTTTATTTCTTTGTGGCTTCCATTATAATTTCAGTAGGGTGGGAACTGCAAATCAACTGCAATCAACTCTTAAAAATCTCTAACTTCAAAAATAAGGCTACTCCAGTTGAAGGGGGCTCAGAAAGAAATAAAAGCACTTGCATTTTGTTTTAGTAATTGGGGTTTTTATGGGTTTGAGGCCAAAGCTTTTCTCATACTTGATTTCATTCATTAGCGGAGAGCCTAACATTTCACAATCTGAATAAGAAAAACTCCTTGTTTTCCAAACTTGCAGTCAAGTGAAGAATAAGAATAAATAAAGAAGCTTTTATAATAAGCTTTTATAATACTCTGACATTCGAGGTGGGGTACAACAGTACCATAAGGCTGCATCATCCTGGTGCTGTGAATTAGAGAACGCTTCTTAGGAGAAAAGTTCTATTTCTGTTAAAGGGATTGTGTCTGGTATGTGTGTGTGTGTGTGTGTGTGTGTGTGTGTGTGTATCATTACTGGGGCTTGACTTCAGGGACTCAAGACTGGGCACTGTCCCTTAGCTTTTTCACTCAAGTCTGGTGCTTTACCACCTTGTGCCACAGCTTTTTGGTTTATTTGGAGATGTGTCACTTGAACTTGTCTGTCTAAGCTGGTTACTCAGATCTCAGACTCCTGAGTAGCTAGGATTACAGGCATAAGGCACTAGCATCCAATTTGAGGTTTCTATTTTTTTTCTTTTTTTATTGTGAAAATACTGTACAGAGAGGTTACAATTACATGGGCAAGATAATGAGTACATTTCTTATCAAGCATTGTAGCCTCCTCCTTTGTTTCCCTTTCCCATCCCCTCCTCCCCCCCCACCAAAGTTGTAAAGTTCTTTTTCGACATAATGACTTGTACCTCTCATTGTTGCAATGAGTCCACCTGTATCCCTATTTAAACGATTTGTTTTTCCCCTTCCCCTCCACAAATTTTCTATTTTTGTCAACCATTTTTACCTAACAATCTGTGAAGTCTTTCTCCAGAGGCCTTTCCTTTCCCAGCTGTCACAGTGTCCCCTGCAGGTCATCCAGTAAAGCTGCGCCTTCAGTGAGAATGTCATAAGAACAGGGAAAATTTACTTTAGGATGTGAACTTACATCATATCAAGAACGGTATTTATCTCTCATATATGCATTCTTCTTGCAACTCCTGGGGCTTGAACTCAAGACCTGGGCACTGTTCTTGAAGTTCTTTTTGCTCAAAGCTAGCACAGCCCTCTACCACTTGAGCCACAGCTCCACTTCTCACCTTTCCTGTTTACGTGGCACAGAGGAATCGAACCCTGGGCTCCTGCACTCTGGGCAAGCGCTCTACCACGAAGCCACGCTCCCAGCCCTTCACCGTTGTTTTAAAACCACCCTATTATCAGCGTTCATCCTGGTGGCTGCATAGACGTCCAGAGTGGGCCAGGTCCCGGGCCACCGACCCGGTGTGGCCCGCACGGGGGTGCCCGGGGTCAGCAGAATCGAGGGAGGGGCCTGACCGCAGCCGCCTTGCCACCGCCCGGCCAATAGAGGGCGCCAACGAGGAGCGCGCGGCTGCGCGTGCGCCGTCGCTGCCCTGCCGGCTGGCCCCGCCCCTGAGAGCCGAGCGTGCGAAGCTGGACGCGGCGCGCGGCGCGGCGCTATGGAGGGCGAGAGCACGTCCGCCGTGCTGTCGGGCTTCATGTTCGGCGCGCTCGCCTTCCAGCACCTCAACACCCGTGCGGACACGGTGAGCGGGCGCGCGGCCTCCCTCCTCCTGGCTGGCCAGGCGCCCCGACGCCGCCGGGCTGCCTTCTGTGGGAGGATCGTCGTCGTTCCCGGAGTCTTCCCCCTGCCCCCCCCCCCCCGCGCTGCGTCCCTGCCCCGTCCCCGCTCCCTTCCTCGGACTTCCGCCCCTTCCCTCCCGCTTTCCCGTGGCGGCCACCTTCCCCTCCCTTCCCCCGCCGCGGCTCCCCTCCGGTCTGATCGCAGGGACAGCGGCAGGATCCAGCGCCTTCCCGCGCAGGGCCCGGGCCGGCCGGCCAGCCGCGCGGTGCCAGGTCTAGTGGACCCTAGGCCTGATCTGGGGTATCAGTGCACCTGACTCCTCCTTGTTCCAACTTTCTAAAGTACTGAGCCCACATTGGGTTCCTTTCCTATGGTCCGTTGTAACCAACTTGCCCTCAGTTAGCTACGCTTGTATAAGTTTGGTTTGGTTTTGGGCTCTGGGCCTGGGCACTGTCCCTCAGCTCTTCAGCTCAAGGCGAGCGCTCTACCACTTGAGCTACAGCGCCACTTCCGGTTTTCTGGTGGTTTATTGAAGATGAGAGTCTCACGGAGTTTCTTGCCCAGGCAGGCCTTGAACCGAGATCCTCAGATCTCAGCCTCCGGAGTAGCTAGGATTACAGGTTTGAATCTGCTTTCTTAAAAGGGGTAGTATTCGCCTGATTGATTTAAAATGCAGGCCAGGCGAATAGTACTCCTTTTAAGAAAGCAGTGTCGATTTGCATTTCAGAGAATTCCATTTTCTCTCAAAGGTGTCTGGCAATGAGATTGTGTCTTATTTAAAATTAGTTAATTCTGTACCCAAAAGCACAAAACAATGTTTCCACAGTATCTTTAATAGAATGGGGGGGGGGGGAGAAGGAATCAGGAACTGCCCTCTAGTGCTCCTGATTTTGATACTCCCAAACTCAAAACACTGGCATGTGAATCTCTTATCTCCAATTAACCACTCAAAAGCTAGAGGTGGTACTGTGGCTCAAAGTGGTAGAGCACTAGCTATCCTGAGCATAAGAGCTCAGGGACAGCACCCTGACCAACAAAATTACGGAAAAAGCCCCACAACCAACAAAATTAAGGAAAAAAGCAGACTCAGAGATTGAATTCTAAATTGTTAATTTGCACATTATGAACAATTTTAAATCTGAAAACACAAATCATTGTTTCATTTTATAGCTTAGAAACGTCCCCTGACTCTTGTTTTGTCGGTCGAGGGGCTTGAACTCTGGGCCTGGGCACCGTCCCTCAGCTCTTCAGTTCAAGGCTAGCCCTCTACCACTTGAGCCACAGTGCCACTTCTGGTTTTCTGGTGGTTTATTGGAGATAAAGAGTCTCTTTCCTGCCCATACTGGCATTGAACTACAATCCTCAGATCTCAGCCTTCTGAGTAGTATTACAGGTGTGAGTCACTAGGGCCTGGCATCATCCCCTGACTATTAAAAGCACTTTTTAAAATCAAGCCCCGGGGAAGTCATATAGGATCTTTCATTACTAGAGGGCAGTCTTCTGCTCCAAGACAAGATGCTTTACTATTTCCTCATAGGTTCTCTTGGCCTCTTAGGCCTGTTGTGCTAAGGGCTTCTAGCTCTGCCTAAATAATGATTGCCCAGCCCTTTAAAGTCAATTCTCACCCCTCCGGTTTCCTTTGCCAAATATCACAGTGGTATTTATGATATGCTAATTTTAACTATTTTCTTATGAAAGCACCTGTGCTGCTTAGATTGTAACTACCCAGAAAACATGTTAACAGGATGAGCAGTAATTCAATCAATGTGTTGTATTCCTTAGGCTGCTTATCTTTTTCCTCCTAGGAAGGTTTTCTCCTTGGGGAAATAAAAGGTGAAGCCAAGAATAGCATTACTGATTCCCAAATGGATGATGTTGAAGTTGTATATACAATTGGTAAGTCACTTCTGCATATTTGTGTATGAGCACACCAGTACTGCTGCTTGAACTCAGGGACTCATACCTTCCCCTTGGCTTTTTCGCTCAAAACTGGTGCTCTCCCACTTGGCCCATACCTCTACTTCCAGCTTTTTGCTAGTTAATTGGAGATAAGAGTCTCATGGACTTTACTACCTAGGGTGCTTTCAAACTTTGGCTAGAAGAGATATACAGAGAGGGATATGCTAAAAGAGGTCAGCTTGGAACCTTCCTTTAAACCAGTCTGTCCTTGAACTATGATCTTACCATCTCCATCTCCAAGTCCATAGGATTACTGGCTGAAATGTGCCTGGCATAAATTGCTTGTGTGTATGTGTGTATGTGTGTGTTTGTGTATGCTGGCTTGGGCGTGTGCACATGCCAGCCCTGGGGGTTGAACTCAATGCCTGGACACTTTCTCTGAACTTTTTGGTCAGTCGTGGGGCTTGAGCTTGCTGTCCCTTAGCTCTTCAGCTCAAGCCTAATGCTCTACACTGGAGCCACAGCGCCACTTCTGGATTTCTGGTGGTTATTGGAGGTAAGTCTCACTTGGACTTTTCTGCCTGGGCTAGTTTTGAACCGTGATCCTCATATCTCAGCCTCCTGAGTAGCTAGGATTACAGATGTGAGCCACTTATGCCGGGCTTTCTCTGAAATTTTTTGTTCAAGGCTAGAGCTCTATCACTGGCACCCCAGCTCTATTTCTTGCATTTTGGAGATTAATTGGAGATTAAAAAAAAGGCTCACAGACTTTCCTGCCCAGACTGGCTTCCAATTATGATCTTCAGATCTTAACCTCCTGAGTAGCTAGGATTATAGGTGTGAGCCACCAGCATCTGGCTAAGTTGCTATTTTTAAATGATTAAAATGGATGTACTAATTTTTTTGTTTTTTGGCATCATGAGGCTTGAACTCTGGGCTGGGCGCTGTTCCTCAGCTCTTCAGCTCAAGGCAAGCACTCTACCACTTGAGCCACAGCGCCACTTCCAGTTTTCTGAGTGGTTGATTGGAAATAAGAGTCTAATGGACTTTCCTGCCCAGGCTGGCTTTGAACCTCAATCCTCAGATCTCAGCCTCCTGAGTAGCTACGATTATAGGCGTGAGCCACTGGCACCCAGCTAGATGTACTAATTTTTAAGTCAGAATTTAAAAGGACATACTGTACTCATTTTCAGTTAGAATTATATATTGTGTACAATAAGTAAGACATAGCAGTTAAGATTGTTGGTGGAATTAGGAAACAGCTGCAGCAGCTATTCTTTTAGGGAAAAAAGGTTCAGAAGCATTAAAATACATAGGGAATTTTCTGATTAACATAGAAGTTTGTTCTAAGCACATACTTTAAAAATTGCTTTTTAAAATTTTGGTAGTTGTACAAAGGAGTTTCAGTTCAACAAGTCAGATTCTATAAGAATAGTGAATCTAAGCATATATATATAATTTTTAAACAAATATACTTGTTAATATAGTTGATAAAAAGTTTGGCATCATGGTATACATATTATGACTCATTTTCCTAAGTTAAATAATCTTAGTACCATTTTTCATAATGGCAGTGTATTCTACGTTGGCCTTTCTGTGATTTCAGTAAGCCATTAAATTATAATCAGTTCAGTATCATAAGTTATTCTACAGGAATATCATTGTACATAGTATTTTCTCTTTTATCTTCCTTTTTCATTGAGACAAGAGGGTCTCTGTAATTAGAGGCTGGCCTCTAATTACTAGGTTAAAGCAATTCTCTATGTCAGCCTCCTAAACAGTTGGGACTATGGGCATGCATCACTGCACCTGGTAGGGTATGAACTTTTTTTTTTTTTTTTTGCCAGTTTTGCAGCTTTGAATTCAGGGCCTGGGCACTGTCGTTGATCTTCTTTTGATCAAGGCTAGCACTCTACCACTAGAGCCACCATGCCACTTCCGGCTTCTCTTGTTTATGTGCTACTGAGGAATCAAAACCAGGGCTTCATGCATGCTAGACAAGGACTCTACCACTAAGCCACATTCCAGGGTGTAAACATTTTTTTGTTTTTGTTTTTATTTTGGTTGGTCATGGGGCTTGAACTCAGGGCCTAGGCACTGTTCCGAGCTCTTTTGCTGAAGGCTAGTGCTCTACCACTTTGATCCACAGCACCACTTCTGGTTTTTGAGTGGTTAACTGGAGATAAGAGTCTCATGGGGACTTTTCTGCCTAAGCCAGCTTGGAACTGTGGTCCTCAGATCTCAGCCTCTTGAGTAGCTAGGATTACAGGCATCAGCCACCAGCACCTGGCTCTTAAGGTTTTTTATATACATCAGTATATCGATTTCTGAAAAGACTGCATCGATTTATACATAATATGTCATTTCTTGTTTGCTACTTTACAAAATTAAAAATAGAAATATATATAATAGAGAATTAAAATTTTCACTTTGATTAGTGGCAGTATCGACCACTGTTGATAGCAAGAATTGGTATAAATGCATACATTTTTATGTAGACAGAAGTACTTCCTTGGTGCAGAAGAGAAAGAGTATGGATAGTCTGAAATTCTTTGCTTGTTTTTGTCTGTTGTGGGGCCTGAGCTCTGGGCCCAGGTGCTGTTTATGTTTTTGAGTGTGTATCTGAAACCACATTCCTAGAGGTAACCTAGCTGATAGTCGTTTAAGAAAGTTAAGGCATTTCAGGTTCCTCTACAGTACATAAAACATTACCTTGGTAAGTGGGAAAAAGGCATGCTCATTGTTTAGGGTTTTTTTTTTTTTGTTTGTATTGCTTGGGATGGAACCTAGGACCCCTATACTGCACTACATTCCTAGTCCTTAACTTGCATTGCTCATGCTTTTTCTTTCTTTTTCCTTTTCTCTTTCCTGTCTTTTTCTTTGAAAAAGCTTTGCTTGGCTTGTTTTACTTTGCCTTTTGGGGGCGGGGGGAAAGGGGCATTACTAGGGATTGAACTCAGGCCCTTGCAACATGCCAGGCAAGTGCTCTACCACTTGAGCCACATTCCCAGCCTTCTGTTATACTCTGTATTTATACTATTTTGTCTTAAGTGTCTTGTAATAGCATAAATTAAGGAAATTGGCCTTTTAGGATATGTGTTATACATAGGTTCATATAGTTTTTGTTGATTTTTTTTTGGCAGTAATGGGTTTTGAATTCAGGGCCTCATACTTGCTAGTCAAGTTCTCTACCACTGAGCTACATCTCTACCCTCATATATTTTTGATGTGGTCTTTTGTTCTTTTGGTGTTTTGAGTTGAACTTAGGGCCTTATGCGTGTTAAGTACAACACTACCACTCACCCTTTTTGTTTGCAATTTTACTTTTTCTCACTTTTAGACACATGGCGCATTCCTTACCAGCAGCTAGAATTAACTTGCCACCAAAGAATATATTTTGAGCAGTTTAAGCAAATATTTCTTGAGGAAATACATTGTATTAGGCAGCAGTACTAAGCTTTATAGTATTTGGTCATATTGTTTAAAAATGTTCAATTGTATGTCACTAAACATTCCCTTGCTTTAGCTCATGAGATTTTCATCATTTTTAGACATGTTTGGAATGTACAGATTTTACTTTAGTGTAATATAACCCCTTTCCCTACCCTCCTCCTGAAGCTTGCTCAGTTGTTTTTTTTGTTTTTGTTTTTGGGTCTGGTCGTGGGCCTGAACTCTGGGCCTGGGTGCTGTTCCTCAGCTCTTCAGCTCAAGGCTAATGCTCTACCACTTGAGCCACAGCGCCACTTCCAACTTTTTCTTTTTGCTTATGTGGTGCTGAGGAATCGAACCCAGGGCCTCATGAATGCAAGGCAAGCACTCTACCACTGAGCCACCTTCCCAGCCCGCTTGCTCAGTTTTATGGTGCTCTACCATTTGAGTCATGCTTCCAGACAAGTTTTTGCTAGCTAACTGGAAATAAGAATCTCCCTGATTTGTCTTCCTTTGGCTGTCTTTGAACGTTAGCCTTTTGAGTAAGTAGGATTACAGGTGCCCAGCTGTAATACTGCTTTTGGCAGAGAATAAAACAACTTTTAGGAGATATTGTTGTTTTTTCTTGTTTCGTTCCATCAGTAGTGAACACTGACAAAACCTTTATGAAACAGCTACTAGAAAAAGTTAAAAAAGCCTTTCAACAGTTGATCATAACTCTTTAGAAGTAAATGAAAATATAGCTAAATTTACTTGAAGATTATATAGTTCATGGCAGCATTTTAATTAGCATGAAGTAAATGCTCACTGCTAATCAAATGATTATTAATGTACTCATAACAAAATCCTTTGTTTTTAGACATTCAGAAATATATTCCATGCAACCGGCTTTTTAGGTGAGTAAAGTATTCATACAAGCAAGTAAAGTACCCATTGTAAAAAATAAAGTATGTTTTCAAATTAACAAAATATCTTAGTTACCAATTGTACATGAAGGTTATTTTTTAATAACTGATGATTCACATGTGCATTTCTGTAGTTGTCTCCATTAGGTATATGAATTGTATTAGTCTCTACGGCCCTTCTCAAGAATCAGCTTATTTTGAAGATTGCTTTTCCTTCTCAGCTGCTATCAGCGCATATTATGAGCCCAGTGGGTGACCTGCTTTCATACAGCAATAGCAGACCTTTTGTTCCTAGCTTTTCATTCCACTGTATTTTTAGCATATATTCCCTACTTACACTGTTCTGGCCCTGGGGCTTGAACTAAGGTGCTGAGCATTTTCTCTGAGCTTTTAGGCTCAAGGCTAGCACTCTACTACTTGAGCCACAGCTCTACTTCTGGCTTAAAAAAAAAATCACAACCCTTTTTATTTTGTTTTTGAGATAGGATCTTACTAAATCTTACTAAATTTACCCAGATGTACTTCATACTCTTGATCTTCCTGTCTTTGTCTCTTTTTTTTTTTATTGTCAAGGTAATGTACAGAGGAGTTTCAGTTACATAAGGAGTACATTTCTTTTTTTTTTTTTTTTTGAACTCTGGGCCTGGGTGCTGTCCCTCAGCTCAAGGCGAGCACTCTACCACTTGAGCTGCAACGCCACTTCCGGTTTTCTGGTGGTTTATTGGAGATAGGAGTCTCACAGTCTTTCCTGCCCGGGCTGGCTTTGAACTGCAATCCTCAGATCTCAGCCTCCTGAGTAGCTAGGATTACAGGCGTGAGCCACCAGCGCCCAGCTTAAGGAGTACATTTCTTGTCAACCTTGTTACCCCTTCCCTCAATTTTAAATCTTTCATCTTTTACTTATGGTTTTTATAGTAGTTAGTTGGTGATAAAGAGTCTCATAGGTTTCCTGCCTGAGCTGGCTTCTAACTGTGATCCTCAGATCTCAGTCTCTTTAGTAGCTAGAATTACAGGCATGAGCCATCAGCTCCAGGCTCCTAGTTACACTTTTTAGTATTATCGCCTATCTGTTGACTAGCTATATTCTCTAGCCCGTTCTTTACACATTTAACCCTACAGATAGTACTGAAATTGTTAGCTTCAACATACTGTACTTTTAACTTTTTTGTGTGTGCCAGTCCTAGGGCTTGTACTCAGAGCCTAGGTGCTGTCCCTGAGATTTTTTACTAAGTCATGCCTCTACTTTGAGTTTTTTGGTGGTTAAGTGGAGATAATAGTCTTATAGACTTTCCTGCCTTGGCTGGCTTCGAGCCATGATCCTCAAATCTCCTCCTAAGTAGCTAGGATTACAGGCATAAGCCACCAGTGCCTGGCTATTTTTAACTTCTTATTAAGGTATAACATACATATAGAGAAAACACAAATCAATTTTAAGAAAGGAAGGCAAAACCCATTGTATGGCATGATATTACAGAAACGCCTTATGATTTACCTAAACCACACAAAAATCATTATCTTATAGTCACATTGTGTATATAAGTCTAAGGCTGCTGCACAGGGTCAAGATACAAAAGATTTATGTTGAAGGTATGGCAGGAAAAAGAACTTAATATGATCTTAATCTGATGTATCAGACAAAGTTACACTTATAGTCCCTGAATATCAGCTGACACAAAAGTATCTACTGAATGAAGAATTCTTAGTGGATACTCATACAAAGGACTTCCTTGAGGGACCAGCAAAGGACTAAGAGGGAGAGTAAGAAGTGAGTCAGTGTCTTTGGGCAAGTACATTAGTAATTAGATACATTCAGTAAGAGTCTTAGAGCCGCAGAAAGCATCTAATCTAGACTTTTAAAATGTTGGGTTTGTTTTTGTGCCAGTCATGGGGCTTAAACTCAGGGCCTTATACTCAGTTGGATTTTTCACCCAACACTGGCACTTAACCACTTGAGCTAAACCTTCATGTTCAGCTTTTGAGTGGTTAACTGAAGATAAGACACATCCTAGAGAGGATGTGTCTGTTCAAGCTGGCTTCAAACTTTGATTCTAGCATCCTGAGTAGCTAGGATTACAGGTAGAAACCACTAGTTTTCAGCTGTTTGTTCAGTTGAACAGGGTCTAGCTGTATGTAGCTTGGGCTCACTTCAAGCTCATAATTCTCTTGCTTCAGCTTCCCAAGTGTTGGAATCATCGGTGTTGCAACACCAAACCCCATTTGCGTATATATATATATATATATATATATATATATATATATATATGCTTATGTATATGCTTATATATATTTTATATATAAAATATTTATTTTTGTGCCAATTCTGGGGCTTGAACTTGGGGCCTTTTGCTCAAGGCTAGCATTCTACCACTTGAGCCACAGTTCCACTTCCAGCTTTTTGGTAGTTAATTCTAGGTAAGAGCCTCAGACTTCCCTCTCCAGGCTGGCTTTGACCATAATCCTCAGCTCTCAGACTCCTGGGTAGTTAGGATAACAAGCATGGACTACTGGCGCATGGCTATTTATTTATTTATTTATTTCTATATAAAAATCCCACTACCTTTAGTCCCTCTCAGTACTCTCACAGATATAGTTTAGTCTATGACCCCTACACACTTTTTTCCCCAAGGAAATAAAACTGAAAAAAAAAATCACTGGGCTGGGAAGGTGGCTCAGTGGTAGAGCGCTTGCCTTGCATACATGAGGCCCTGGGTTCGATTCCTCAGCACCACATAAGCAAAAAGAAGAAAAGCCGGAAGTGGCGCTGTGGCTCAAGTGGCAGAGGGCTAGCCTTGAGCTGAAGAGCTGAGGAACAGCGCCCAGGCCCAGAGTTCAGGCCCCACGACAGGACTCCCCCCCCCAAAAAAATCACTGCAACAAATAAATCCCTCCCCAAGTACCCCCCCCGTCTCCCCCCCCAAAAAATGAGGAAGCACCAATCAATTGGTTAGGGCAAGAAGAGCTTCTACTATGTGGCTTCTGTGTTCCAGAAAGCTGCTCTCTGCTGCTGCTCTAGATACCTCTATCCCTGTTCTTGTCAGCTCCAGCTCCTCCTTTTTGATTGTGACCTTTGCCAGTTCCTTCTTCTGCTCCTCTTTGGCTTTCTGCTTCCAGAACAGTCTATCTTAAAATGATGCACATAGCTGTTTCAATATTGGAGCTCTGGATATCATTCTCGTCAGCATGGTGGGTGACCAGTTCTAGGTCCACAGTGCCACTGTCATGTTTCCTGGGCTTCTCAGGAGCCCACTCTAGGTTGCTGGTCTCCAACTCCATTGTCATGTAGATCTCACCAGGCCACCAGAAAATCTGGTTTACACACTTTTTTTTTTTTCTTTTGTCTGTCATGGGGCCTGAACTCTGGGCCTGGACTCTGTCCCTCAGCTTTTCAGCTCAAGGCTATAGCGCTCTACCATTTGAGCTACAGTGCCACTTCTGGCTTTTTCTGCTTATGTGATGCTGAGGAATCGAACCCAGGGCTTCATGCATGTGAGGCAAGCATTCTACCACTGAGCCACCTTTCCAGCGTTTATATACTCTTGTACACCAATTTGAGAAGCCCAGAAGTAGGTTATCCTAGCAGGGTAGTTACAGGCTGATGCCTGTAATCCTAGGTACTCAAAGAATCTCAGTGGGAAGACAGCCTTAGAAGACAAAACCCACAAGACTCTTGCCTCCAATTAACTAGCAAAATGCCAGAAGTGAATGTGTGGCTTAAATGGTAGAATACTAGGCCAGGTGCAAAAACAGCCAAGGTAGGACTTGAAGCCAAGTTCAGGTTCCCCCCCCCTTTTTTTTTTAGAAAAAGGTAAACCATGCTAGAGAATATAGTTAAGAATTATAATTTAGGAACTATAAATAGGTAAATAGGGGGTAATCTGTTTGATCAGATAAACACTATGTTTTTTAAGTTTTGTGATGTACAGAGAGGCTGCAGTTACATAGGTCAGGTAAAGAATACATTTCTTTTTGGACAATGTCAACCCTTTCCTTGCTCTCTCCCAGTAAACACTATGTTTTTAATGAAAACAACTACTGTTAATTCCTTGTAGTTAAAAAGTAAAAGCATTCACTATTAGAACATAGGTCATTGGTTTCATATACTTTCAGTAAACAGTTTAGAATTGTCAGCATATTCTTGTCAAAATAATTACTGTTTATATAGGATTTTGCCTTACATTTTACCAACATAGACAAATACTGTTAGTCTTTATGTCTAAAGGAAGGAAATATTTACAGTTCATGTCATGGGATGGGAAGGGAAAGATGTTAGAAGTAAATGCTTTAGAATCTTTTACAATTATCTTCTTGTTCTTCTTATACCTTGGGACATTCCAACTACAGAACAAAGGTCCCCAAACTAAATCAAAATATGTTCCCTTCTGCCTCCTCCAAAATAGTCTTTTAAAATATAGCTTTTAGTTACTGGCCTTTGGTAGCCATTATACATTCTTTCATAGGGTTAATATTATAAAAATAAAAATATTTAATAAGCTGAATAAATTATGAACTGTCTGTATTAAATTACTTTCCAATACTCTTATTTAATGGGTAGTTTATTGTTTTTGTTTTAGGTTAAAAGAAAGTGTGATGCACAAATTCACTTGAAGTTTCTCCACTCTTGTTCATTGTTTATGGATCTTGTGTTTCTACCATTTTAAGTCTTATATTTTATGAACTTTCTCTACTATTTATTTTAGGACTTCATCTGACAGATAAGGTACAGATCTTGGTTGGGCAGTTTGGGTTAGGAGTTAACTAAAACTGAAAATGATAATAAAATTATTCAGATACCTAGCATATCTGAAATGTCTCTAATTTTGACCTTTGTAGCTTCTACAATTCTGTAGGTGAAGTAAATGAGCACTCACTGAAGAAAATATTTTCAAGTACAAAAAAGGTATTTCCTAGTTTACCTTTTCCTTGTTGGTGTTGTATGCATTATTTTGGGGCCCCTAAAAATATACTACTTTGACAAAACTTTTAGGCAGTATTTGTCTTCATGTTGACAATTAAAGCTAATAAGAAAAAGCCTGTTCTTCCCAGATATTCACAAAAGTTTCTCTGAAAACAAATCTACTCATTAACACTATGAATCTTGGACTAGAGGTGTGGCTCAAGTTGTAATTTCAGCCTTGAACAAGAAAGCCAAGAGTGCAAGCTTCTGAGTTCAAGCCTCAGTACTGACTAAAGAAAAAAAAAACATAGTTCTTGACTTTATTTGCTCCCTGATCACCTAATTAACACCAATCTCTTTCTCTTGTATTGTCCAAACTATTCTTGAACTTCTGGACTTAAATGTTCCTCCTTCTTCAAGCCTTCCAAGTAGCTTGGACTTCAGGTGTGCATCACCAACCCTGGCTTTGAAATTACTGGTTTTTATAACTGCAGGGACAGTTTTCTATACAGCTATAATATATACTGTTTAGTTTCCTGTACAGTACAGTTTTCTATACTTTAATTCCTCCACAGAATATTTGATGTTTAGCTAAAAGTTTTTGAATAACTATGATGGATGATTTTTCCAGAAATTTAAATATTTTGTACAGTTTGACTTTTTTCCTTTTTAAAAACTTTTGTATCTCTGATTTGAGAATAAAATTCAGTAAAATGTTTCTTTGAGTCACTGGGTATGATGACACATATCTGTAATCCTAGTTACTCAGGAGGCTAGGACAGGAGGACTGCAAGTTTGAGGGTAGCCTGGGCAATTTAACAGGACAGGGTCTTGTTCACACCTGCAATCCTGCCTACTCAGGAGGATGAGATCTGAGAATTGATGTTTGAAGCCAGCCTAGGCAGACAAATTCTTAAGATTCCCATCTCCACAATTAATTAGCAAAAAGCCAAAAGTGGAGGTATGGTACAACTAAGTGGCACCTATTGAGTGGAAAAAGCCAAACAAGAACTGTTTAAACCCAAGTAACTGGGGTGCATGGACACACACACACACACACACAGTACTGGGATATGGCTTTATACATGGACACACACACACACACTCACACACATTCTACTGGGATATGGCTTTATAGTTGAGTACTTGCCTAGCATGCAGAAGGACTTGGGTTCAATCCATAGTACCATTTTTTTAAGTTTCTTTTTAAAAAAATCTTCTGTTAAAAAGTGGTTGTTGGATTTTTTAAAAAATTATATTTGAATATTTTTTTGTTTTTAGTTCTGTGCTTGTCCTGAGGCTTGAGCTTATGGCCTGGGCACTATTCCTGAGCATTTTTGCTCAAAGCTACTGCTCCATCACTTGAGCCATAGCTCCACTTGTGCCATTTTGGTGGTTAAATGGATATGATAGTCTCATGGCTTTTCCTGCCTGGGCTGGCTTTGAACCATTATCCTCAGATGTCAGCTTCCTGAGTTGCTAGGATTACAAGGACGAGCCATCATCACCCAGCTTTGGATATTTTTTTAAGTGCACCTGTAAAAATGTTTAGCTTTAAAAAGAACAGAAATAATTGTTCTGTTTTGTTTTTTAAGCAGTCTTACTATACAGTCCAGGCTGCACTCAAACTCACAGTTCTGCCTCATTTAGCTTCTTAAGTGCTGGGGGTTGCAGGTACAGAAGCACTTGAAATGTACAAATACAAAGTTTAGTTGCTCAATCTATCATAGATTTCTATGAATTAAAGTATTTTTCTGTGTTAGATTTACTGAGTTTTTAGTAATGAGAATTATTTTTCTGATTTAAGAACAGCTTAGTAATAGTTGTTTTTTTTAGCACATTACCTTTAACAAAACCCTTTCCCATGATTATGAAACCAAATCAGCTTATTTAACAAACCTCCAGGGAGTGATGCCTATTAAGCAAAACACTGGCATGACTATTACTTTCTTGTAAATTTTTACTAAAGATGAAGAGTGCATGACAGCAAATGCCATAAAGGAACTAGAGTAAGTCAAGAATTTCTTCTTTTGAAACTTTTCTCTATATAAATCAAAATGGCAGCCTTTTAACTGCATAGGAAGTAAGTATAAGTCTGTTTGCAAACTTTACAAAGGTAAGTATAAAATTAAGTATAGTTTTTGTTTACTACATGTCCAAAACCTTTCCAATTTAAGAAAGCCATTTTAGTTCATCAGGTTTTACCTTTTGTTTTTGTCTTGCTATATAGTCTAAGCTGCCTTGTTTTAGTCTCCAAATTGAGTGCTGGAATTACAAGCATATTGCATCATTCTTGGCTCATGACTGTCAATTTTATTGCTAAGTTATAAGACATATAATAATAACTAACCACTGGAATTGAGATACCTAATTTTTTCTGTATTTTCTTTCAGAATATGGTAGGTTGGTACAAATTTCGTCGCCATTCAGATCAGATCATGACATTTAGAGAAAGACTACTTCACAAAAGCCTACAGAAGCACTTTCCAAGCCAAGAACTTATTTTTCTGCTGTTAACTTCAAGTACAGTAACAGAAAGCTGTTCTACTCATAAGCTGGAATATGCCTTATATAAACCTCAAAAAGGGTAAATGTTGGTTGATCACTGGCAATTTTAAACTAGTAGGAAAAAATATATATACCTAATAAATTTTGCATCTTACCATGTGTTTTTATATAGTGTTGTATTAGGTTGTCACAATAATGCTGTGGTAGGTCATAAAATGTGTTAACTGTAGATCAGAAAATGAAGGTCAGCCAGGGAAATTGGTTTTGATTACTGTTTACTAGAAAAAATGTTCATTGTTTGTTGATAAGGATATATTTTAAAACTTAAGCCTATAAACTTCATTGAGCAACTTTATATTCTATATAATCTCAATAAAGAAGCAAGGCAGTTTTTGAGGTGTACCAAAATAAGTCTAGAAGGGAAATCATTTAGCTACTTTTTTTTAATGATATAAGAATTAATGTAAATGAGCTGGGTGCTGTGGCTCATACCTGTAATCCTAGCTGCTTGAAAGGCTGAGATTGAGAGCCCAGGCAGGAAAGACTGAAACTCTTTATTTCCAATTAATTAAACACATACACAAAAATATGAAAGGAGAGCTATGGCTTAAGTAGTAGAGCACTAGCCTTGAGCAAAAAAGTTCAGGGGGCAGTGTCCAGGCCCTGACTTCAAGCACTAGGATTGTCACACATACACACACACACACACACACACACACACACACACATACAGAGAAAAGAAAGTAAGAGTATCATCAGTCAAGAGTAATTTCATTCACCTCTACAATAAAAAAGTTACCCCCCCATAAAAAGAGTAATTTCATTGTTCATACTAGGTAAAACAGATTTCAACCATAAAACCTTAAGATTTAACATTCCTTATCCAAAATGCTCAGGATCAGATGTGGTCACATTTTGGAATATTTATAGACATAATGAGACATCTTGAGGATGGGGCCCAAGTCCAAATAAAAAGTTCCTTTGTACTTCATATATGTAAATCTGAAAGTAACTTTATACAATGTTTTTGTTTGTATACCTTTTGTTAGTTTTTTGAGACTGTCTCCCCATTACCCAGTCGGCCCTTGAATTTGAGGTCTTCCTGATTCAGCTTCTAGTGTTGAGATGTGCAACATCTCAACTAGTGCAAGTATGTTGTGACCATATGTTGCACATATGTTGTGACCAATGTGTCACATTAACTCAGTGGGGAATTTTCCTCTTTTTTTTGGTGTATTTTTTTTTAAGTGATAGAAAACTTTCTTGAAAAGAATACACTTTAAAATCTTGGGACAGCTAGCCGCCGGTGGCTCATGCCTGTTAATCCTAGCTACTCAGGAGGCTGAGATCTGAGGATCACTGTTTAAAGCCAGCCAGGGGAAGAAAGGCTGTGAGACTTATCTCCAACCACCAGAAAACTGGAAGTGGTGCAGTGGCTCAAGTGGTAGAGGCTTGCTTGAGCTGAAGAGGTGAGTGAGGGATAGCGCCCAGGCCCAGAGTTAAAGCTCCACGACCAAAAAACAAACAAACAAAAAACCAAGAATCTCTTGGGTTTCTGTACCTGAGCTGGCTTCAAACAAGGATTCTGATTTCAGCCTCCCTGAATAGCTAGAATTATAGGTGTGAACTATCCGCACCTGGCTTCGCATTTTTATTGAAATGTAAGGGATTTAATCGTGTTAATTCCCTCCCCAGGACCAGCCCATGGGGTAGTCACTGTCCAGAGGTTGGGGAAAGTTTATTGAATTATAATTGACTGTAGGCATAGCTTTGTGGTCTGAGTAAGTTAAAGATCTATTGTTATTTTGACCCACTTTAGGCTGGATTTAAGCCATTTTTCCTTAAGGTGAGTGGTGTACTCCACGAAAACTATCTTGTGAGATTCCATCACCTTGGTGGGTGATAAACACTGGTCATCTGTGAGATAGAAAACTTAATTACAGTGTTTTTTCTCAGATAACCTTGCAACTTCTCTCACATTCTTAAGTTCCTTTTGCATTTCTACAGCATGACTACCTGCTATCTATCATTCTTGGTAGGGGTCATGGGATCCCAGGTCATAGATGATGAGTAGTGTAGAAGGAGACTGTAACCAGCCGTAGTTGTGTCTGAAAAGGAAGAGTCAGTTTTCTTTTCTTTTACTTTCTTTTTTTTGCCCGTCTGGAGCTTGAACTCAGGGCCTGGACACTGACTTTGAGCCTCTCTGTGCTCACCGCTAGCACTCTACCTCTTGAGCCACAGCACCACTTCAGCTTTTTCTGTTTATGTGATACTGAGGAATTGAACCCAGGGCTTCATACTTGGTAGGCAAGCACTCTACTGCTAAGCCACATTCCCAGTCAGCTTTGTTCTATATAGTCCAGGCTGCTCCTGGAACTCATATCTTTCTGCCTTGGCCACCCAAGGAATCTTCTACTTGTACTGATGCTCAAAAAATTCAGATTTTTTTTCCCAAGTGATATCCATGCTTGTAATTGCAGCTACTTGGAAGACAGATGCAGGAGAATTACAGGTTGAGGCCAACCCAGGTGAAAAAAAGCTAAGGAGGATAGATACTGAAAAAAAAAGTGGTGGTGTGGTACATGCCTATAATTCTAGCGATACTTAGGAGCATAAATAAAAGAATCACAACCCAAGGCCAGCCTTGGGCAAAAAAGTATGAGACTGTATCTGAAGAATAACTAAAAGCAAAAGGTTATGGAGGTATAGTTTAAGAGCTACAGTATTTGCCTAGCAAGCACAAGGCCCTGAGTTCAAACTCCAGCATACCAAAAGGTAGTTTGGGTTTGGTTTTGTTTTTTCCTTTCAGAGTTTTTTTCTCAGTACTGAAAGTAGAACCCAGACGTTTGCACATAGCAAGCAAGCACTTTACCACTGAGCTTCATCCAATCCAATTTCTTTATTTTTTAATTTTTATTTTTTTGGTCTGGTCGTGGGGCCTGAACTCTGGGCCTGGGCACTGTCCCTCAGCTCTTCAGCTCAAGGCTAGTGCTCTACCACTTGAGCCACAGCACCACTTCTGGTTTTCTGGTGATTTATTGGAGATGAGTCTTGTAGACTTTCCTGCCTGGGCTAGCTTTGAACCACAGTCCTCAGATCTCAGCCTCCTTGGAGTAGCTAGGATTACAGGCGTGAGCCACCATCACCCGGCTCACTTTTTTTATACTATACATACTTCACAACTTACCCCCTTTCATCTTCCTTCCCCCCTCCAGTCATGGGGCTTGAGTTCAGGGCCTGAATACTGTCCCTGAGCATTTTTTGCTCAAGGCTAGTGCTCTATCACTTTGAGCCACAGTTCCTCTTCCGGTTTTCAGGTGGTTAATTGGAGATAAGTCTTACAGACTTTCCTGCCCCAACCTTAGATCTCAGCCTCCTGAGTAGCTAGGATTACAGGCACAAGTTACCAGTGCCTGACTACTTTACAACTCTTAAAAACTAGTTGCTTCAAGCTGCCTCAAATTGGGAAATTCTGTCTTGGTACATAATAAGGAGTGGGTTTTTCTGTTTAATTATACAGGGGGAAAGTAGTGTATTCTGATAGTATGCTATTCTATTTAAATTTACATTTAAAAATTTTATGTTGTCAGACTTTTTTATAGGATACCCTTAGTGGTTGCCAATCTGGGCATGTCTGAACAAACAGGTTATAAAACTGTATCTGGTTCCTGTATGTCCACTGGTTTTCACAGAGCGGTAAAGGCACACAGGTAAGATTCCTTTGAAATTAATTTCCTTATTACACAAACAAGAATGAAAATAAAAGGAAAGTTGGTGTGTGTGTGTGTGTGGTGTGTGTGTGTGTGTGTGTGTGTGTACCATCCAGGGGCTTGAATTCAGGGCCTAGGCACTGTCCCTGAGCTTATTTTGCTTGAGGTTGGCAGGCACTCTGCCATTTGAGCCCCAGCTTTACTCCTGGCTTTCTGGTGGTAAACTGAAGATAAAGAGTCTCAAGGACCTTCCTGCCCACCTAGCTTACGAAAGCTGACTATATGAACACATTACTCAAACTATACTATTTTTTTTTACCACCTCTATACTTCTTGTATTTGTCCACTGTAAATTCTGTATACTTAAGGAAGTTGTATTATTTTACAGTTCTGAATTTTTTGAAGAAGATGGATCTTTAAAGGAGGTACATAAGGTAAATAAAATGTATAATTCACTACAAGAAGAATTAAAGGTAAGTTAAAGTCAAGTATTTAAAGACCACTTTTAGCATTCATATTAAATTGTTCACTCTGACATCAGATTTAATTGTATTGTATCACTTCATCTGTTGAAGTAGACTGCAATCTTAATGTACAACCAAACTTTAATGTTATCCTAGCTAATCACAAGGCTGAGATTTGGAAGACTGAGGTTTAAAGCTGGGCAAGAAAGTTTGCTAAACTATCTCCAAACTAACCAGAAAAAAAGAAGGGCCAGAGGTAAGGCTCAAGTGGCAGTGCCAGCCTAGCAAGGTTAAGGGCCTGAGTTCAAACTTCAATACTGTTCTCTACCCCAAAGAAAAGTTTAATCTTGTTCTCATTCTTGGCTTCAGACAATCCTTCAGGTTGTCACCTTTATTTCAGGGACTAGGCTGAAGGAGTAGTCCTTACTTAGGACATGTTTTTGTGGCAAATGGGGAAAAGGGAAGGTGATGGCAATTCTTAAACTTTAGCTGAGAACTGTCCTTTCCTCTCATTGGCAAGAATCTATCATATAACAGGGATACATAATCTTTTTACAAGATGAAGGAAATAAACATTGAACACAACTTCTTCAGTATTACAGTCTCATGTACCAGCGCAGGTCCTTTGAGAAGTAACGTCAAGAGCCAGAAGTTCAACAGCTGCATTGGACCTTTATAGGACAAAGCAAAGGGACTAACAAAAGGCAGGAAGATTGAATGCATGTTTAACCCCTGAGAAAGAAGAGGTTAGCAATAGCCTCAGAATTCAGTACCATTCCAAGAACGTTCATTAGGCTCCTTGATCAAACAGAGTTGCCCCAGAGTTGTTGTCCAAACATGGATTTACACTGATGCCCCTTCTGTGCTTAGTCATTGGTAATAACAGACCATGGTCTAAAAGCAAACACAGTGGTGGTGTTCAAAGCTGGGAGTGCCAGTTTGACAGCTAGAGTATATTTTCATAGCCACCAAACTTAGCACTAGAGTATGCTAACAAAAAAAATGAGTTCATACATCACTAATATTATTATTTTATTATAATAAATTTTAGAAGATAGAAATAACTGAACCTCACCCCCCCCCATTATTGGTGCTTAAATTCACGACCTTGCACTTTTTTTGGGGGGGGTGGGGAGGGGGTCAAGTCATGGGACCTGAACTCTGGGCCTGGGCGCTTCCCTCAGCTCTTCAGCTCAAGGCTAGCACTCTACCACTTGAGCCACAGCGCCACTTCTGGCTTTTTTCTTTTTTGCTTATGTGGTGCTGAGGAATCAAACTCAGGGCCACGTGCATGCAAGGCAAGCACTCTACCACTGAGCCATCTTCCCAGCCCATGACCTTGCACTTCTGCAGCTGTCCAAAATACCACCCGAAACCCTGTTTCTCAATGGATTTTTAGATAGAGCTAAGCTACCCAGCCAGGTGCACACTTGAGCTAAGAACAACCTACTTTTTAGGCTTCCCATTATTGCTGGGATCCCAGGTGTGCTCCCCTTTGTCCACTTTGCCTCCATGCAGACAGTCTTGAAGACTTTTTTTGCTAGAGATGGCCTAGTACCTTGATAATCCTAATCTGAAATTAGGATGACAATTGCACACCACTGGGCCTGGTTATAGGTTGAGAAGGGGTCTTATGAACTTAGGGCTGGCCTCAAACCACAATTCTCCTGTTTTCAGCCTTTCCAGTAGGAATCTCACCTTTTTAATGTTAATATTTTCATTTTGCCTTATTTTTATTTTACCCTAAAAAAAAAGATTTTATTATTTATTGCCAGTCCTGTGGCTTGAATTCAGGCCTGGGCACTGTCCCTGAGCTTCTTTTGCTCAAAGCTAGCACTCTATCACTAGAGCCACAACGCCACTTCCGGCCTTTTCTGTTTATATGGTACTGAGGATTCGAACCCAGGGCAAGCACTCTACCACTTGAGCCAAATTCCCAGCTCTCTGTATACATATTTTGATATACAGTCATGGCAGCATAAATTTGTGACATGATTTTTAAAAATTCGATGTACTATTGTGGATTTTTATGTTGCCACATACTAAATTAATGTAATATATGAGTGTGTGTATATATTTGGCTTTTTTAACAAGTGGTACTTGACTTTGAACTCAAGACTTATGCTTGCTTAGGTTGCTTACTAAGCTGGTGCTCTACCATTTAAAAAATTATTAAGTTGTTGTACAATTCCATGGCAGGTTATAATACTTCTTGCTCAGTGTCACCTTGGTGCTCTACAAGTCATGCATCCATCCTGGCTTTTTACTGATTAACTATAGACATAGAGAGTATCTTGGACCTTTCTGCTTGGGCTTTGAACTTTAATCTTCCAGATCTCAGAGTTCTTTTGTTGGTTTTTTTTTGCCAGTCCAGCGCCACTTCCAGCTCTTTCTGTTTATGTGGTACTGAGGAATCAAACCCAGGGCTTCATGCATGCTAGGCAAGCACTCTACAACTGAGCCACATTCCCAGCCCCAATCTCAGCATTCTAAGTAGCTAATTTCAGGTGTGAACCACCAGTACTTACCTAGCTTTTAATGTAATATTCCTCTCCTGGAGTATGAGCTCAGGGTCTGGTACTTGTTAGGCTGGTGCTCCATCCTTGAGCCACAACCTCTTGGCCTAGCTTTTTTGTTCCTTAGTTGAGCTGGATACTGTCCCTGAGCTCTTTTGCTCACTGCTTTACCACTTTGGGCCACAGTGCTACTGCCAATTTTCTGGTGGTTAGTTGTAGATAAATCTATGAACTTTGCTGCAAAGGTTGGCTTTGAACTCTGATCATCAGATCTCAGCCTTCTGAGTAGCTAGGATTACAGTACCCAGCATCAGCCCAGCTTTTTGATGGTTGTTTTGGATACCCAGCCGCCCTTGAATGGCAATCGTCTGTCATGACTATTTTGAATGGGAAGATATTCTAAAAAACATCCACAGAAACTAAGCATAACTTTTGCAATCCTAGGGCCTGAACTCAGGGCCTGGGTTCTTGAACCTGAGCATTTTCACTAAGGCTAGCACTCTACCACTTGAGCTACAGGTTTACCTATGGCTTTTGATAATTAATTGGAAATAAGAGTATCACAGACTTTCCTGCCTAGCTGGCTTCAAACCACAATTCTCAGAGCTCAGCCTTCTTAGTGGACAGGATTAGCAGTGTAAGTCACCATCACTCAAATTACTTTAAGGGCCAGTTTGTTTTTCCAAACTAATTTCTCTTCTTTTTTTCCTATTTGTTAGCAGACAAATATTATAAAAAGATAAATATGCCAGTCACTGGTGGCTCACACCTGAAATCCTAGCTACTCAGGAGGCTGAGATCTGAGGAGCCCAGTTCGAAGCCAGCCCAGATAGAAAAGTCCCCATAAGATTCTGATCTCCAGCCAGGCGCCGGTGGCTCATGCCTATAATTCTAGTTACTCAGGAGGCAGAAATCTGAGGATTGCAGTTTAAAGCCAGCCCAGGCAGGAACATCTGTGAGACTCTTATCTCTCCAATTAACCACCAGAAAACTAGAAGTGGCGCTGTGGCTCAAGTGGTAGAGTGCTAGCTTTGACAGCACCCAGGCCTAGAGTTCAAGACCCACAATTAGAGCACAAGCCTTGAGCAAAAGAAGCTAAGGGACAGCACCCAGGCTGGGTTCTAGCCCAAAAACGATAATAAATAAATAATAAATAACACTATTTTTCATCCAACCTCATATAAACAACCATAAGTGTAAAATAAAATTAAAAATTATGAAAAATACTGGCTAGAGAGAATGGGAACATGGACATTGGTGTAAGACTTTAGGAAGGAAGACAAGGAAAGAATTAAATCTGGAAAAACAAAAATTCCAGGGATCTTATTTTTAGTATGTAGTTTTTACATCTTCTTTAAGTAAACTTTTCTGGAAGTCTCACTCAATTACTGCAATTGTCTGATTGATCATTCTCTTACAGGAATGAAAATCCTTCATTGTTTCCTTTTATAGAAGTAAAATAGTCACCTGTTTTTGTTATGCTTTTCAGTTTCCTGATGTAAAATGTGTGTATTATCTTTGCATCTCTATGTATATATGTATGTACGTACGTATGTATGTATTGATTATGGGCTGGTAATTGAACCCAGAGCCCTTTTTGTGCTAGGAAGTCTATGGTAGCATAGAGTAGCATCCCCAGTCCAGAATTTATTCGAAGTGAATTTCATTTCTGATATCAAGGAAATAATTGATATGATGAAGCCACAAATAAATGGCAAGATAATATATCTGAAAAGTTTTTTATGTATGTCCATCATGGGACTTGTACTCTGGGCCTGGATGCTGTCCCTGAGCTCTTCTGTTCAAGGCTAGAGCTCACCACTTGAGCCATAGCTCGACTTCTAGTTTCCTGGTGATTAATTGGAGACAAGAGTCACGGACTTTCCTGCCCTGGCTGGCTTTGAACCCCAATCCTCAGATCTTAGCCTTTTCAGTACCTAGGATTACAGATGTGAGCCTCAGGCACCCAGCTCTGAAAAAATTTTATAATCTAATATAGTATGAGAGTAGCATACAAGTTTGAGGTCTTTCCTTCAGAAAACAGTAGCTGGAAATGTGGCTTAGTGGTAGAGGCTTGCCTAGCATGCATGAAGACCCAGGTTCAATTCCTCAGTACTACATCAACGGAAAAAGCCAGAAGTAGCACTGTGGCTTAAGTGGTAGAGTGCTAGCCTTGAGCACAGAGAAGCTCAGGGACACTGCAGAGGCCCTGAGTTCAAGCCCTGGGACTGGAAAAAAAAATCAGAAAACAGCAAAATGTTTATAAAGCCAGGTGCTGGTGGCTCATGCCTATAATCTTACTTACTTAGGAGGCTGAGATCTGAAGATCACTGTTCAAAGCCAGCCTGGGCAGGAAAGTCCATGAGACTCTTATCTCCAATTAATCACCAGAAAACTGGAAGTGACGCTGTGGCTCAAGTGGTAGAATGCTCACTGAGCTGAAGAGCTCAGGGACAGGGCCTTAGCCCAGAGTTCAAGTCCTGTGACCGAAAAAAATTATGAAAGGCAGATAGTATTTTACTGGGGATTTTATATTATTTGTGAGTGTATACTCTTAACATGTCAGAATTTTATCTATGCCCTTATCTTGCAGTATGTATGCAATAACGTGGAACAAAGTGAGAAACAAGTAGATAAACTCATAAATGAGATAAATAGATTAAAAGAAGAAATTGGAAAAAAGCAAGCACAGATGCAAGCATCAAGTAAGTAAAACCTGAATACATGACCCCATGGTGCCTTCCATGTCTCGTTGTCTTTCTTATCTTCAGTGAACCAGCCAACTGTGTATATATATATATATTTGTCCACCTGGGGACTAAAAGGATCATTTTGTCAGTGCTTTTCACGTTCACTCAGTAGAGCAAGCAGCGTTTGTTCAAATTATAGCACAAAATTTTAATTTCCTCTTAGAATCATGTGGCAGCCTGGGCATCAGTGGCTCACGCTTGTAATCCTAGCTACTAAGGAGGCTGAGATCTGAGGATCACGGTTCAAAGCCAGCAAGGGCACGAAAGTCTGTGAGACTCTTACCTCCAATAAACCACTAGAAAACTGGAAGTGGTGCTGTGGCTTAAATGATAGAGCACTTGCCTTGAGCTGAAGAGCTCAGGACAGTGCCCAGGCCCAGAGTTCAAGCCCCATGAACAATAACAAAAAAAAAAAAGAATCCTGTGGCATATATATAAAAAGGAATGCAGGATGATGTCATTAATGCTCACTTTTTTTTGGGGGGGGGGAGGCCGGTTGTGGGGCCTGAACTCTGGGCCTGGGCGCTGTCCCTCAGCTCTTCAGCTCAAGGCTAGCGTTCTACCACTTGAGCCACAGCGCCACTTCCGGCTTTTTTCTTTTTGCTTATGTGGTGCTGAGGAAATCAAACCCAGGGCCTCATGCATGCAAGGCAAGCACTCTACCACTGAGCCACCTTCCCAGCCCCATCATTATGCTCACTTTGAATAACTGGATATGCTTGTTGAAATCTTTTTGTGTTAAATGACATATAGCTAATTATAAAAACTTTGTGGAGGGCTGGGAAGGTGGCTCAGTGGTAGAGCGCTTGCCTTGCATGACTGAGGCCCTGGGTTCGATTCCTCAGCACCATATAAGCAAAAAGAAAAAAGGCCTGAAGTGGCGCTGTGGCTCAAGTGATAGAGTGCTAGCCTTGAGCTGAAGGAAGAGCTGAGGGACAGTGCCCAGGCCCAGAGTTCAGGCCCCACGACCGGACCCAAAAAATAAATAAAAAATAAAAAAATAAAAACTTTGTGGAATGTTGAGCTGTTACTTTGTTTTGTTTAGGAGAGAAAACCCCAGAAGACCAGAGGGAGAACATTTTTCTTTATCAAGCTTTACGGACCTTTCTTCCAGATTGTGAACTTCTTCATTCTTGTATTATCTCCTTGACAAATGGGCAGATTTTTAAAAGCAGATGTAGTACTGACCACCAACTTCATGTGGTAGACAACCTGACCTTAATGGTTCCACACACTCCCACCCCTAGTGCTAGTCCAGTTAGCTCACCACAGGTGACTAAGCGGACAGCTGCTGCAGAGACAGATGGAAACCTAAAAAAGAGATCACGGCTGTTGGAGACAGAAAGCAAACTGTCAAAGACGGACACTGACAATGAGAACCAGGAAAGAAAATTCACATCCAGCAGCTCAGACACAGATGAAGACATTGAGAAAATGAAGGGCTATGAGGAATATCCTCAGTCTCCCACATTTTGATCCTGTTAATCTACAATCACATTTTTTTTGATTGGCTGAATGAAGAAAGTTAAATATTTATTTTTACTGCAGCCAGTAAAATTGCAGTAATACATGGAAAGCTTGTTTGTTTTTACTAAGAAGCTACTTGTAAATAGAAAAAGTTTTATTTTTACAATGTTCACTTCTTAAAGACGATCAACAATTTTTATAAAGTACTTTTAAAATACAAGATACCTCTTATCTATTTATTCATTCCTTTATTTATTTTGGTGCTAGAGACTGAACCAGGACCTCATGGTCCTAGGCAAGTGTTCTATCACTAAGCTATGCTTCTATTCCAAGACACTTTTCCTTTAAAAACACTTTTTATCTTTCTACAAGAGTGAGGAAAAAAATTACATGCATAAGTTTTTAAACTTGTTACTGATGTCTAGAACTGGAAGTTTTAGCTGTGGAAACATGAAAGTTTACATTAGAATTTATTTTTATCTAAGTCATTTAAAATTCCTACTACTTAAGTGATGGCACATTAAAGTGGGACAGTGATGTGTAGTAGTCCCAGCTACGTGGGAAACAGCTTGGAGGGTTGCATTAGTACAGGAGTAGGTGGCCAGCCTAAGCAACATGAGACCCCACTGCAAAAATGTACAAAAATCAAAAGAAATTTACTCTGTACAAAAAATGATGTCTTTCCCACTTTCTGTGTGGCTTCCTCACATAGAAAGCCTTGTTTATTCACTCATTGGAGATAATGCTGACGAACACTTGTCTTTGCAAGACAATCCTCCCCCACCCCCAAGTACTGGTGTTTTTTTTGTTTGTTTGTTTTTGGGTCCGGTCATGGGCCTGAACTCTGGGCCTGGGCACTGTCCCTCAGCTCTTCAGCTCAAGGCTAGCGCTCTACCACTTGAGCCACAGCGCCACTTCCGGCTTTTTTTTTCTGCTTATGTGGTGCTGAGGAATCGAACTCAGGGCCTCAGGCATGCAAGGCAAGCGCTCTACCACTGAGCCACCTTCCCAGCCCTTCCATAAGACTCATCTCTAATTAACCACCAGAAACTGGAAGTGGAGCTGTGGCTCAAAGTGGTAAAGTGCTAGCCTTGAGCAAAAGAGCTCAGGGTTAGCACCTAGGTCCTGAATTCAAGTCCCACTGCTGACAAAAAAAAAATGAGTATTTTGATTAAGTGATTTTCAGAGAACATTCATTAGTATGGAGAAGTTTCACCACTTCTAATCTCAATCCTGAAACACTCTTCTGCCCAAAAGTTAGTCTGAATCAACACTGACATAAAACTGCTTATTATAAAGGAATTTATTGGCAATAATTTCATTATTCATTCTCAATATCGGATGTTACAAATTTTGGGGTCCTTGAGATAAGCAGGATCCTTGTATGTGACTGGCATAAATCCTGAAAAGAGATAATTAAAGTCCTTCACAGAAAATAGGCAAAATTTTGACTAGTACAATCCAGTTAATAATTAAGTACACTTACCCATGATTTGAGCTCTTTTAATTGCTTTGGTTATTTCTTTCTGTTTCTTCCCACAAAGACCTATAAAATTTTGAAAAAAATATTATTTGTAAGAAAATACCAGTATTCAAATTTGTAACTATTTCCAAAGTTAAAGGTTGGTAATTTTTTTTTCTGAGAAGGCCAAAATAGTAACTATTTTGGGCATACAAACAAGTCACAACTGCTCCATTTTGCTATTGCACCTCAAGAGAAACCAGATGGCACTATGCAAGCAAATTAGAAGAACAAGTAACAAGCAATAAGCTGGATATGGTCTATTCATGGGCCACAGTTTACTGACCCAAGTTTTAGTCTAAGGATGATTATGTGTGAAATGTACACTTCATTTGTAATGTGTGTACATCTTAAACACCATGTATTTAGAATCACAGGATTAGACTTCGGGTCCTGCACTTGCTAAATAGGTGCTAAATGGTGCACACCATTTGAGTCACATACCTTGTACTTTTTTTGCTTTAGTTATTTTTCCCAAAAGACTGAAGTTTGTTGTAGGGGCTAGCCTTAGACTATGATCCTAACTGTAGCCTTTTATGTAGCTGAGTTGACACACATGTACCACAATGCTGCCTGACTTATTCGTTGAGCTGTGGTCTCATCTCAATTTTTTTGCCTCAGCTGGACTTGAACCACATTCTTCCCAGTATCTGCTCCAGAGTACGTAATATTACAGGCATGAGTGACCATATCCAGTTCCACATTTTTATACGTTGCAAACCTATAGTGAGGTCTGAGCATAAAAAGACATACAAAATGATAACTCTTTGGGTTATCATATAAGTTTCTTTTTAAAGAAACATCTCTAAGTACAAAATCCAGCTCCTGTAGCATATAGTCTAGAATGATATATTGCAATGATAGTAGACAGATATAATTCTTGTTTACATTAAAATTACTAAGATTAAAAAAAAAGTAATACCTGTTATATTCCTTCCATAAATGCATCCAGTAAATGGAGAAATAAATTGAGACAAAAGCTGGGTATTTTTGAGGAAAAAAATTACAGTTATTCTGTGAATAGATATATATTTAAAAACAAAATCCTTACACAAGACTTTTAATTCACAAAAACATGTTTCTGACAAATTTTGTATGAGATAAAATATCCTATTAAATATTATCAAAAGTTGACATCCAGTATATCAAAAACATCTACACTACCAAATAACAGGTTAATCAGCTTATTTATTCAGTGCTAAAACTAGTTTTTTGATTTCCACAAATATCTAAAAACCACTGTTTCTAAAAACTTACTAAAATGCAGCATCTGTCAGGACAGGTTGCCACATCGTCATGAAGTTTGAGTAGGACTACAGTGAGGCCACAGGAGGTATAGATACATTGGGTGACTTGTTATATAGATATAATTTACCTATTTTTTTTATTTTTTGTGTGCTGATGTTAGGATTTGAACTCAACCCCTCACTTTATTATTGATTTTCACACGTTAGCACTATCTTGGTGCTGGGTAGTTCTTGACCTTCTTTCCCCTGTGTTGCATTTTATAATTTCCTGGACTTTCTCCCTCAGAGGCTAATATACCTAACACTGGCATCATTCACTGCTCACAAATTCGCAACTTCTCACTTGCTGAGAGCTTGATGAGGGATAGTATCTGAACCAGAATGTAGAGGTACCAAGATCAACTAAACATAGTTTTTACAACTAAGCACTTGTACCCTCCAACTAGAAATTCCTGCTATGGCGAGCCATTTCTCAGACCTTTGGAACATCAGATATAATGAGCTGATAATAGGATACATGAAGATGAGCCAAGGGGCTCAGAAGTGAATAAAGATACTTACATATAAAATTAAAGCCTAATTTGAAATTATGAAGCTGCTCAAACAGTCATCCAAAGCTGCTATGAAACTGACATGATCCTCTTTAAGCAAGGCTAGCAAAGTTGTAAAATCCTAAAATCAGGTTTAATACAAAAGAAAAAGCAAATCTCACCTGTACATTCTTATAATCTACATGTTTCCCACATAAGACACATTTCTTAAGAGGTTCCTTATAAGGATTTTCCATTGGGATGGGCTAGGATAAAGAAGAAAAGTGTCAAGAAACAGTTAATTTTGAAGTCAAAAAGGTATTATGTACCTGTGTGAAAATAAAACAATGAAGCTTCTTGAAATAGTTTAGTAGAGAGGGAAGCAGGAATGAGGAAGTGACTAAGGAGTTAAGTTTGATCACGGTACACTAGATACACAAATAGACACCTAAACATAAAATCCTCTTGTAAAACTGATTATGCTAATGAAATATTAAAAAAATCTTAATAGACATCCAACCAAAGGTACACTGTACCTTTCTTACTGTGTGCCTATTTTGAACAAGCACTTTATTTTGTATCAATTTAAGGAGAAGTTAATTTATGGAGGATTTTAGGATAAAGATAATCTTTGCAGAAAAGGGTTTAAGGGAGGAAAAAATACAAGTCTGACTTTTAAAAAGTGGTTCAAGTACTTTGTTCAGATTGTAGATGACTAAACCATTCAAATTTATTTCCATTTATTTTAACTTTAAGACAAACATGTAACATAGGTAATATGACATTTCTAAGTTAGTACAATTGCTAAAGTTTTAAGTTTAGCCATCCTGTTTCTTCATCAGGTGTTTCATCATATCTTCTTTTATAAATACAAAATGTCCCATAGTTTACTGTAGTAAGAAGTCCTTCTGAGTTCAACTTTCTAGACCTATCCAGCTGTCAAAGTTTGTGTCAGCCTTCTTGGTTTTCTGCCTTCACTCTTACTTAACTTCTAATGCTTTTGTCATAGTGCCCTCCTACTACTGTCAGAAGGGCTGGCTCCAGCAGAGTTTTTGTTGTTGTTGTTGTTTTGTTTCCTTTCTATAAGATAGCACATGACTATGAAGTCTAAGCTAGTTTAAAACTTGCAATCTTTCTGCCTCAGCCTCTGAGTCCTCACATTACAGGGATGTGCCTCCACAATTGTTAGAGGTTTAATTTAGTTATGGCTTTGAAGCCATAATTGTGTAATTTTGCCTAATTGTATTCAAAATTCCAAATGCATGTACATGAGTACTCTTTTCTTAGAGAGGATTCAGTTTTCATTAAGTGTCTTAGGGAGATTAAGACCAAAAATAGGAGTAAACTTCTGTTGTTTTTTCGTTTTGTTTTTGTTTTTTGTTTTTGCCTGTGTTGGGGCTTAAACTCTGGGCCTAGACACTGTCCCTGAGCTTTATTTTCTCTACCACTTGAGCCACAGTGCCACTTCCAGCTTTTTTTGAGTCGTTTATTTGACTTTCCTGCCTGGGCTTGCTGTGAACAGAGATCCTCAAATCTCAGCCTCCTCAGTAGCTAGGATTACAGACAATAGCCACTGGTGCCCAGCAGAAGTAAACTTTTTTTTTTTTTTGTCTTGTCATGGGGTTTGAACTCTGGGGCTGAATGTTGTCCCTTAACTCTTCAGCTCAAGACTAGCACTCTACCACTTCAGCCACAGTGCCACTTCCAGCTTTTTCTGTTGAGGAATTGAACCCAGGGCCTCATGCATGCAAGGCAAGCACTCTACCACTAAGTACCTTCCCAAACCAGGGTAAACTTCTTCTAGTGTGTGAATTAGATAACCAAGAGGTCTAGGCCTTCCTAGACCTCTTTTATTTTCACCAATTCTTTCAGATTTCTTAATTTAATTTATATTCAGCTCACATGTAATTACTAACTATATTTCTTTTCAATACTTGGCTAAGTGCTTTGTATGGCATGATTAATGTCAAACCAATTATCTTTCCTGTAGTTAGAAATTTTATTCTTTCCAAATCCATGTACTTTTCCCCCATTAAAACACACCTATAAGTAAGAAGGTGTATTAAATGTCCTGGTGTAAAACTTTAATCTCTATATTTATTAAGGCAAATTACCAAAAACAAAGACAAAATAATTAGCCCTTTGCTTAGTTATCTACAATTATTCTATCCAGCCAAATGACATATACAATTACTACATCATATGTCTTTGTATATACCATCTAGGAAGAAAAAGTATCAAAGAAGCATGCTTCTTTAAAAGTTGAATAAGGAAGACAAAAGAGGCTAGACTCCTCCTTACTTTAATGTTTAGTGAGTATATCTTATTTTTTTCCTATAGTTTAATCCCAAATATCTGAAATATAAGAAGTTCACCTTATGTTTTCAAGTTCCTTACTAATATAAAGAAAAAGAAAAAAAATCTTACCAGGTCCTTTCTGCTATCCTCCTGTTTATACTGTGAACAACCTCTTCTCCATAGCACTGTAATTAAAAAGAAATAGCAATAAACCAAGTCTGTTAACTAGCAGAGCGGCCAAGGAAGATTTTGTTTTTATAGAGGCAGATGAATCAAGGAACACAAAATACAAAGTGCTATTAAGAGGTGACATTGGCAAAAAGAATTGTACTCATTACCTGACTTATGAAATGGTAAACCTTGTGTACAGACAGCATCTTAATAATAACAAAACTATATATATATATATACATATATTAAGGTACTATATAGTCTTTATATTCACAATGGGTGGTTTGCAGTATGCTCCTACCCATAAAATCTCTTTTATGTCCATTTCTCTTGATTCCTTGGCTACAGATTTCAATGCAGTTTCACACAGGAGAAACAAGAGAAAGTCAATGTCATCCTAAAGGTAAAATGAGTAAAAATAAATGAATAAGTAAGACTCGCTAGATGATAGCTATTAGAGAAACACAGAAACAGATTTTAAGTGAGTTGACAGAACAGCTCGTTTACTCTCCCTTCAGCTGTAAATTACTAGTCTCACGCCACCTATCCTGCAGGAACTTAATCGTTCAGAAGCCAGCATCCTTTCTAACACTTCACCGACTGTGAGAGCCAAAGCCAGGGAGACTTTACCCGCGTGAGTTCCGCGATCCGGGAGCGAGACCCCAGCCATCACCCAGCCTGTCAAATTCTTCCGCCCTAGACCCCAGCAAACAGTTCCTAAAGCCGCCATGGTCCGTCGCCCTTCCTCTTCCTTTCCTTTTCCCAAATCGCCACATCACGTCCCTTCCGGTCTCTTCCCCAGTTGGCCCGGGGACTCCAAGGTTCCGGGGTCGAACGCTGGGGGACGCCGCCGGCGGGAAAGGTACGCAAAGTCCTCAATGCGCATGCGTTTCCCACCCTGAAGGCACCGGAAGTCACGGAACGCTTGTGATTGGGTTAGGAGTGGGCTGTGTTAACGCTTTTACAAACCCTTTTCCGGTTCGAGGACGCAGGGAACTAAATTGGAGTTTGGCGGCTGGGTCTTTGGGGATGTGTTTGGGGCCGGATTCTCGGCCCAGCCATGGATGATGGTGTCTCCCGCATCCAGCGGCGGGTGTCTGTCCGCAAAAGGAACCGCACTAGTGTATCGGGCACCGAGGCCGCCCCCGCCGCGCCCCCGGCCCTGCCGCGCGAGGGGGAGGAGGAAGCGGAGGAGGAGGAAGAGGAGGACGGGACCGTTGGGGACCGCCGGCGGAAAACCCTGGGTGTGCAAGCTGTGGAGGTACAGCCCGTCCTGCCCCACAATCCCCGGAGAGCCCTGGCCTGACCCCCACGGGCGGGTGGCGGGAGAGATCCAGGCCTCCCACTTGGCATGACACGCCGTGGCGGGGGGGGGGGGCAGAAACGAATTGCTGAGGCTGCAGAATTGCAGTCGTTTTTACCCAGGTGCTGATGTTTCAGTGAAATAGTAGCTATCGCTGGTTTTTGTTCCCGCCGTTGATTGGCACTTAGCAGGTGTCTTGATTTCCCTCCTCATATTGAACGTGAACGTTAGACCTCGGGCATGAACATCGTGCACAGGGCAGCGTAGTGACCTGACTCAGCCCCAGAATCCGAAATTATCGCTGCTCCTAGTGTGGAGTGAGTTACGTGCTGGGCATTCTGTTAAACTACCCTGTGTTATCTCGATTTTTACAACAGTAGTCATGCCTGAGCAGTTGAGGAACTACGGTTCTGGTTCCAAACGGTTCTTAGCATTTAACTGTATTGCTATTTCGCAGTTTGCATCCCTTCTGTTTAATATATAGGCCACCCTAAGCCAGTATGCACAACATCTCAATTCCAGATTCAAAAGAGAATTTTTTTTTGTAGTTTCTAGCGGTACAACCATGAATTTGTCACACAGATAGGTCCTCTTTGAGTCTGAAAATAGATTGCTGCAGTTACCTACCAGAAGCTTTTAATGAGATGACATCCCAGTGGCTGTCCACCTTTCAAGGGCTTAGAACAGATGTAGCAGTAAGAATGTAGGAGCCAGGAGTGTAACTCAATAGTAGACCCTGCCATCACCCCTGATATAAGCACACATTCATCTCCCCCTGTATACACAAGGCCAAAAATAGAATCACAATATCACTTTAACATTCCAGGAGCATTGTTGAAGCATGATCACTTCACCTTTTCAGGTCAAGTGAAGTGTAAAAAAAAAAATCTTTGTCTAAAATTATAAATATAGTGACTTGCATATAATTGTATAGTTGGTTCAGCACTAGGCTGAAGGCTTTGTTCTTAAGCTGGAATTGTACTTAAGTATTTTTATTTCCTTCTCAGCCAATCGACAGTGAAGAGGACATGTTTGGTGGCAATGATAGTTTTGTAGACAACTCCTTTGTAGTCCAACTTGATTATATGGAACAGAAATACATGAAGTTTCCTGAAAACAGGAATCATGCTACAGACTTTTCCACTGAAGATCTTTGTTCAGAAAGTGCCAAAAATAAACTCAGCATACCAACAGAAAGCAACTTTACTGAATATAAAACAGAAAGACATAGTGAAGGTGAAGATGTCCCTGTTGAGCCTAGCAATGATCTTTTATATGATATGCCTTCTTCTCAAATTTTATACTTTGAAAATTTGTGGAACTCTTCAAATTATTTGGGTGCTCCATCTACTAAAGAAAGGGATAGGAACTCATCCTCCAACAATACTATGAATGAAGAATTGCCCCCTGGTCATATAAAGGAACCCCAGCAAAACAATGAATTATCTTCAGAGGTCAGAACGAGCTCAGATATGAGTAGGAGAAAAAGTATTAAAGATCATCTGAAGAGTGCCATGACTGGAAACGCCACAGTCCAAACACCAATATTTTCTAAGAGTAAACAGCTCAAAGAGGCTCTCCTATCTGAAGAAATTAATGTTGCTACGAAAACAATTGAATCATCATCATATGATCTTGGTCCTTTTTATTCATTACCCAGCAAAGTGAGAGACCTTTATGTTCAGTTCAGAGGAATTGAAAAATTATATGGTAATGCTTTTGTTGGAATGAAAACAAAACTTGGGGGTTGGAGGTGTGACTCACGTGGTAGACCACCAAGCACAAGGCCCTGAGGTTAAACCCCAGGATTGCCAAACAAAAATCTTCCATCAACAGAAGCAGCTGTTTCCAGTCATATATCTCATCTTGAAAAATCGAAGTGGCAGGTGTCTTCTCACACTTCTATTCCCTGTTCTGCCACTACTGAACCTCTTTCCTAGTCATCCTCAAACCAGTTACTCTTGCTCTCTTTATTTTCATAAATAATAATTCAGCACACCCCAATTCTGAGTTCTGTGCTCCCTCTTAAAATGTAATGACTAGGAAAAAGCAAAGATGTAATAAATAGGGTGTGTAAATCCAAGGTTACTTCTTTCCTGACTTCTCGGTAGTTTATCTGCTGCCATGACCACACCTTTATTACACATCTTGACATACCTGCTTATGTTCATTTTCCTCTGAGGTAGCTGTTTCACAGTTTTCATTTGGCTCTGTCTTCTCTGCCAAAATTTAGTTTTACTCCATTGAATGTTGGAATGTCTTGAGTGAAAGAAGTCAACAGTACCATTAAACTTTACCATTTCTAAAGACAGCTGAAGTTACTATTGAAGTGCAGAGAAATGTTTTTCTTTTCTTTCTTTTTTTTTTTTTCCTTTGGGTCCGATTGTGGGGCCTGAACTCTGGGTCTGGGCACTGTCCCTCAGCTCTTCAGCTCAAGGCTAGCGGTCTACCACTTAAGCCACAGCGCCACTTCCAGCTTTTTTCTTTTTGCTTATGTGGTACTGAGGAATCAAACCCATGCATGCATGCAAGGCAAGCACTCTACCACTGAGCCACCTTCCCAGCCCCAAAATAAGCGTTTTTCAAAACTGGATCCTTGCATATATTTCAATGTCACTTTAAAGAAGTGCTCTTCTGGGAGATCAGCCCATCAAGCATTTACTTCATAAGTATTTCTGGAACTCCGTTTAAGATCTTATGAACTAGCTGGTTCTCAACTTAGGGAGAAGAGAGGTTGAAGAACTAGGACTTTAGGAAACAAAGTCTACTACCAGACTACAAGCAGAGGTTCATGGTTTAAGAGGTAACAGTCTGTTGCACTTCAAGTAAATAGTAATTTTTTTACCTTTATTTTTCTCCTAGTACCTTGTTCTTTGTTTAATTTTCATTTCTTGCCAAAGTGAATTCCCTGAGAATAAGGTGCTAACAAGGTGTAACTGGCACTGTGCGTTGGACCTGTGGTAGTTTTTCAACTGTTGGAATCTGTCAGCCTCCTTATGAATTCTGGCCTTGTTGCTTAAACAGTAATGCATCTATAAAAACAAAAAGAGAGAGAGAGAGCCAATTTTGCAAATTAATCTTGCAAATTAAACTCTTTAAAATGTCAAAGTAAGTAGTGGTAATGACTGTCAATTACATTGGTTCTACGTAAAAATTTCAGTGAAGAACAGTTTGTGTGTGTGTGTGTGTGTGTGTGTGTGTGTGTGTGTGTACATATGAGTGTGTGCGCACCTGGACTTGAAATCAGGGCCTGGGTCCTATCTCTAAGCTTTCTGTCTCAAGGCTAGGCCTCTGCCACTTGAGCCACAGCTCTGCTTCTAGCTTTCTGGTGGTTGGTGGGAGGTAAGAGTCTCATGGACGTCCTGCTCCTGCTTGTTCCAAACAGTGATCCTCAGACCTCAGTCTCCAAAGTAACTAGGAGACCTTGAGCCACCAATGCCTGGCTAAAATGCACTTTGAAAATTTTTATTTTATATAAATCTGTCTTAATAACATGAAAAATTTAAAGCATAAGTGAATTTAAATTTAAAGCATCATTGTTCTAAAGCAGTGCTGTTGTTGTTTTTAATAACATATATCAGTTGTACTAGTAGGAAGGAGGCTTATTGTGACATTTCCATGCATCTTTACACTCCCACTTAACCTCACCCCTTGTACTGTACCTCTTCCTCTTTCTTAAAACATCAGTGGGTTTCATTGTTCTATTTTTATACATGTAAGCAAACTCCTTTGAGTATATTCATACTCATTCAACCTCTTGTTGGCTTAGCCACCTCCTGCTTGGACCTGTCTCCGAACAGGAACCTGTTTTACTTTCCTGTCCTCCTCCTTCTTTGTTGTCGTCATCATTGGGCCAGAATTCTGGGCTTGGGTGCTGTCCCTCAGCTCTTAAGCTCAGGGTGAACACTTTACCACTTATAGAACCCAGAGCATGCAAGGCAAGCACTCTACCACTGAGCCACCTTCCCAGCCCTTTTTTTATTAATGTGTATTAATTGCAGCAAGTGGTTTCACCATGGTATTAGGTATGCATAACATCTAACAATGTTTTGCTCAGAATAATCTCTATTGTTTTCTCTTTACCCTACCTCAACCCCCACTTGACCTTTAACTTTCATTTAGATTCTTTTATGCTGTTTACATTCATAGTAACAATGTACTTCAAAATTACCTTCTTTTTTCCTCTCCCCTTCACCTCATCCTAAATAATCCCATGGTTAGATTCTTTAATAAATGAAGAAATCATATTCCTATAAATCACTTTGGTAATTTTAGGTTTAAAGTATCTGAATTGGGTAAAATGTGAATATGAGTTTAGACATGAACATCTGCAGTTTGGTAACTAATGGATGTTTATTTTCAGTGCTGAGATTGAATCCAGGGACTTGTGTATGTTAAACACAACTTTACTTGGGTACACCCCTAGCCAAGTATTTTAAAGATATTTTTATAGAAAAAGTATGTAGATATAATAGATATCTGGGAATCATGTTTAAAAAAAAACAACACAATAAGCTGGGTACAGGTGGCTCACTCCTGTAATTTTTTTTTTTTTTGTGGGTCCGGTCATGGGGCCTGAACTCTGGGCCTGGGCGCTGTCCCTCAGCTCTTCAGCTCAAGGCAAGCACTCTACCACTTGAGCCACAGTGCCACTTCCGGCTTTTTTCTTTTTGCTTATGTGGTGCTGATGAGTCGAACTCAGGGCCTCAGGCATGTAAGGCAAGCACTCTACCACTGAGTCACCTTCCCAGCCCTCACTCCTGTAATTCTAACTACTCAGGAGGCTGAGATCTGAGGGTCGCAGTTCACAGCCAGCCCAGAAAACCGGAATGGCGCTGTGTCTCAAGTGCTAGAGCACTAGCCTTGAGCTGAATAGCTGAAGGACAAACACCCAGACCCAGAGTTGAAGCCCCACTTCCAACAAAAATAAAACAAACACAGTGAAGTCATTCATAAATGTCATTCAGTTATTTTCATTTTTTAATGTTCAAGCCCAACTCTTTGATGCATAATTATTTTCAAATACTTAGGCATAAGTGACTTCACATAATTCAACACATTTATGAGCCTTTTTTTTTGTCAGTCATGGGACTTGAACTCTGGGCTTGGGTGTTGTCCCTTAGCTCACTCCCTCAGAGTATTCTACTAATTCCCACACCATGTCTTAGATATTACCCATTTTCATCAATACTACCTTGCTAAGTGGTGGTAACCTGCATATATAAGTTAATACTCCTTTTATGCTTTAGTCTTAGTCTGAAATGGTATTCAACCATTCAAAATTCAGGTCTGCAAGAGAGCTAATTGAAGTTAGTATTAGTTTATGCAAAACCCTATGGACTTTCATTTCTTCTACCTTCTATTCCTTTGTAAGATAGCTTTGGATGAATGAGGAAGGTCAGCTTACATAGGATTGTAGAATTTAAGAGGAAGACCTTGGAATATTCACATGGGTCCTTAACATTGTTCATTTGGTTCTCACATGTCCTGGATGATGGTCCCTTGTTCCTCAGACTGTAGCCAACTCTGTCCCTGCCTAAGTCTTAAACTGATGATAAGGGGGGCTTAGCTGCTCACCCCATGGATAAACGACTAGTAGACTCTCACTGGCTGTAGATGTTGGATAGTTTGAATTTGGGGCACTTAATATTCATTTTAATGATCTTTACCTTCAGAAGATTGCCTCACAGGAGGGATTTAATGTCTGTGCTTCTGGGAAAACACTTGAAATTAAAATATGAAGACAGCTGGGTGCTAGTGGCTCATGTCTGTAATCCTAGCCTCTTAGGAAGATGCAATCTGAGGTTCACAGTTTGAAGCCAGCAGGAGCAGGAAGTCCGAGAGACTATTATCTCCAATTAACTATGAGAAAGCTGAGAGTGGAGCTATGGCTAAAATGATAGAGTACTAACCTTGAGCAAAAAAAGCTCAGGGACAGCACTCTGGCCCCAAAGTTAAACCTCAGGACTGGCACACACACCCCAATACACAAGAATATGAAGAGAGAAAAGAATGTTCATTGTCTTTTTTTTTAATTCCACAGAATGGCAACATACTTGCTTAACACTGAGTTCTGTGCAAGAAAGAAAAAATTTAATATATTCTTTGCCAACTAGTGGTGGAAAAACTCTTGTAGCTGAGATTTTAATGCTACAAGAACTACTTTGTCGGAGGAAAGATGTCTTAATGATCCTTCCATATGTGGCAATTGTCCAAGAAAAGGTATGTTTTTCTAATATAAATCTTTTTTACTCATTATTGTGACAAGATCTAAAAGCGTAAGTGTACTAGCTAAACAGAAGTATCTTTATGATGAAGAATTATTTTTAGTATATACAGAAGCTTAGGGCACTTACCAAATATATCATCAAATACTACTTGTATTTTCTCTAAATTGGTAGGTTGAACTCTTAAATATATTGTTAATATATTTAGTTAATATTACTATTGAATTTTAAAGCAAAACTAACCAAATGTTTTGTCAAATGAATGAGTTCTGATATTTTTGTAACATCATAGAAGGCAATTTATTTTCATGTTTATTAGGTGAATTAAAGTTTGCATTTATTTTGCAAAGATGAGCACCTTATTTTCACTGTATTTCTTAGGTATAAATATTTAATTTCATAACTGTGCTCATTGATTGCTTTTAGATACTGCTTTAGCTATTTTTTGTTGTTGGTCATGGGGCTTAAACTGAGATCTTGGGTACTAATCCTGAGCTGTTTTGCTCAAGACTAGCACTCTACCACTTTGAATCATAATGTTACTTTCTGTTTTGCTGATGGTTAATTGAAGATACAAATCTCACAGCCTTTCTTGCCTGGGCTGGCTTCAAACCCTGATCCTGAGCCTCCTGAGTAACTAGAGTAACAGGTGTGAGCCACTAGCACCCGGCTAGCTATTTTCTTAAATTGCTGAAAGCACTTAATAATTGATGTGCTTATTTACTTGTATTTTTTATTTTGCTTATTTTAATATTCGAGATTTCAAGTTTGTCAAGTTTTGGTATAGAACTTGGTTTCTTTGTTGAAGAATATGCTGGAAGCAAAGGAAGATTTCCTCCAACAAAAAGAAGGGAAAAAAAATCCCTGTATATTGCCACCATTGAGAAAAGTCATAGCCTGGTGAACTCCTTGATTGAAACTGGAAGGATTGGTAATTTGGGCCTGGTTGTTGTAGATGAGGTCAGTTACCACTTCTACTTTTATCAGTATTTTCTTATACTAATGTGTTATTTATTATTGTGATTATTTTGTGGACTTGCTTAGTACCTCATCAAGAATAATTCATTTTAATATACAGAAGACAATACAAGTAGAAATAATAGGGTACCCCAATTAAGACAGCACCCCAACATCGGGTCGGTAATCAAAAGAGTGAGACTGACACAAAGCGAAAATGAAGCAAGCTTTATTTTCGCGCCTAGCATCAGGAAACGGACTCGCCAGTCACCTGGGCAGAGACGGCCCCCGGGCTATTGTCTGACCCTATTTTTTATAGCAGATTGACCACGAGGGACAAGGTGGACACATGCAAGTGACCAATAGGGTTGTAATACTCATACAAAACTGCATAGTCCTGTCGGATAACTGGCAGGTGACCAACTAGGTTGTAACCCGTCTCTGGGCAGTTGTTTAAACTGGCCAGTCCTTCTGGTCGGTTTTGGCGCACAGTTTCCGTGGGCAGAAGGCGGGGGTCAGTAACTTCAGTGGCAAGGGGAGCTGCATGTGCTTGTTACTAATTGGATGTATCCACCTGGCTCCTAACCTTGGTTCTCTGAGCTCTGTTAATCAGGGATTTACAACCCAAAGTTTGCAGGAATTTACGGCCCACAGCTTGTTAATTGGGGCCAATCTTACAAGATGGATGTTTTGCAAGCCAGGTACTGCTTGTCACTGACCTGAGGATGGGAAATGCTTACAAGGAGGATATCATGTCCTTTCTGAGCACTGTTATTAGAATGGGGTCCCCACAGAAATATTCCACTTTTGGAAATTGTCCATATACAAATTGACATTTCCAGTGTCAGGTGTTTCTTGAAGTGTGACTATGTTTATAGACAATTTATAATTTTATTTTGAATTCCAGGTGTGTCAGTGTATTGCCCTCCCCCAAACTCATTAATTTAAAATACCAAATGGTATTTTAATGTGTATTTACTGTAGTCATTATACCCAAAATGTTAAAGAATGATAAAGCAAGTATTAAATATTTCTTACAAATGTTTTTGTTTTTTCTTGGTTTTTTTTTTATGTTTGTTTGTTTTTTGTCAGTCATGGGGCTTGAACTCTGGGCTTGGGCGCTGTCCCTGCACTCTTCAGCTCAAGGCATGCACTCTACCGCTTAAGCCACAGCACCACATCCAATTTTCTGGTGGTTAACTGGAGATAAGAGTTTCACAGACTTTCCTGCCCGGCTGGCATTGAACTGTGATCCTCAGATCTCAGCCTCCTGAGTAGCTAGGATTACAGATGTGAGCCATCGGTGCCCGACTGCTTTTTGGGGTTTTGATTTAAAAAATATTTTTTTTCCATACCTGGTGCTTGAACTCAGGGCCCAGGCACTGTCCCTGAGTTTCTTTGCTCAAGGCTAGTACTATACCACTTGAGCCACAGCACTGCTTCTGGCTTGTTCTGTTTATGTGGGACTAAGGAATCGAACCCAGTGCTTCATGCATGCTAAACAACCACTGAGCCACCTATCCAGCCCACATATGTTTGTTTGTTTATTTGTTTTATGAGCATTTTATGAAGATGTACTTGTTTACCTTATTGGGTTTTCTTTCTTTGTTTTATTTTAATCTCAAAGTTGCACATGATTGGCGAAGGGAGCCGTGGTGCCATCCTGGAAATGACCCTGGCAAAAATCCTCTATACTAGCAGTAAGTATTTGCTGATTCATAATTAAGAGATCTAACCATGAAAGACTTCTCTCACTGGATTATGTGACTTAGAGCAAAAGACTTAGAGTTCCTGCTTTAGTTTCTAAAGTAAGTGCATTTTTTTGTTTTGTTGGCAGAATCAATGAATGAGTAGAACTCTGAGGATAAATTAAATTAGCATTTGAAAGAGCCCTCTATTACTTCCTCCCACTTACTGGCAGTGTTTGCTTAGTCCCCTTGTTTAACCTGATGAGATCCTTTGAAGAGTATGTGAGAGAGAACAGGTGTGAAGGTGAAGTATTTTGCCATGCCCAGAGGGCATGCCTAGTAACTTACTGTTTCCATTGTCACCATCACCACTGTCTTAAAGAAATAGTATATTTAGGTAATCACTTGAAGGAACTGTTTTACAATCCCACTTTAAATGTGTATGTACTATTGTAAATATCATCTCCATGGTGTTTTTTTAATCTCTTCCTGCGTACCTTTCTCCCATCACTTGAGAAGAATTTAGAAAATAAAATGTTGCTAAAATTACCTTTAATATAAATGAAACATTTAATTCTCTGAATTTTTTTAGAAACAACTCAGATTATTGGTATGAGTGCAACATTAAACAACGTTGAAGACTTAAAAAAATTCCTTCAAGCAGAATATTTCAGCAGTCACTTTAGACCAGTATGTACCCAAGGTTTGCATTGTACTGATTTGCTATGTATTATCTGAGAAATAAAAATAGTGGACATAGGGCTGGGAAGGTGGCTCAGTGGTAGAGTGCTTGCTTTGCATGCAGGAGGCCCTGGGTTCGATTCCTAAGCACCACATAAGCAGAAAAAAAAAGCTGGAAGTGGCACTGTGGCTCAAGTGGTAGAGTGCTAGCCTTGAGCTGAAGAGCTGAGGGACAGCACCAAGGCCCAGAGTTCAGGCCCCATGACTGGCAAAAAAACAAAAAATAGTGGACATAGTATATTTAAAATCTTATAGAAGAGGCTAGGAAGGTGGCTCAGTGGTAGAGTGCTTGCCTTGCATACATGCGGCCCTGGGTTCGAGTCCTCTGTACCACATAAGCAGAAAAAGCTGGAAGTGGCCCTGTGGCTCAAGTGGTAGAGTGCTAGCCTTGAACTGAAGAGCTGAGAGACAGTGCCCAGGCCCAGAGTTCAGGCTGCACAACTGACAGAAAAAAAATTTTTTAATTAAAATATATATATATATAGAAACCATGTGCTCATAACCTGTAATCCTAGCTTCTCAGGAGGCTGAGATCTGAGGATTGAGGTTCAAAGCCAGCCTGGGAAGGAAAGTCCATGAGACTTCTGTCTCTAATCAATCACACAAAAAAGCCAGAATAGAGCTGTAGCTCAAGTGGTAGAGGGCTCACCTTGAGCAAAAAGCTCAGGGACAGCCCTTAGGCCCTGAGTTCAAGCCCTATGACTGGCACAAACAAAAAATTCTAGGGAATAAGCTGGGTACCCATGACTAATGCCTATAATCCAGTTCCTTGAGAGCCTGAGAATGGGAAGATTGTGGTTTGAAGCCAACTCTGGACAAAAAGTTCATGAAAATCCTTCTCTATCCATAGCAGGGTCTGTTGGCTCATGCATGTCATCTCAAGATGTATAGGAGATTGAAACTGGGAGGATGGGTATTCCAGGCTAGCTAGACAGAAAAGTTCTAGACAAAAAAATCTCCATGGAGAGAACCTGATTGCAGTGGTCCACACCTGTCATCCCAGCAATGAAAGAAAGCCAAAAGTAGGCAGATCATGCACCTAAATAGGAAGCAAAGCACTATCTAAAAAATAACTAGTGAAAAATAGGGCTGGAGGCATGGCCTAACAAGTTAGCATGAGGATCTGAGTTCAAACCCTAGTACCACGCAAAAAGTTCAATGGATTAGTTAAGAGGTATAATTTCACTCACCATAACTACATTCTAATAATTAAATTTGTGTATAGAGAATGTAAGTTCTGTGGAGACCAGCATATTGGCTTATGAATGATTTTATAGCACTTGAAGCAATGACTGGCTTGTGGACCCTCAGTGAACATCTGTTGAATGAATTGTTCTAGACCATTTTTTTTTCTGTTTCTTATTTTTTAAAGTATATTTTCCATTTGGCTCAATTTTAGTGAGACATGTTTGGCTCATTAAAAAAATCTGTTAGCTGCAGGCCTGTAATTCCATCACTCAGGAGGCAGAAGTAGGAGGATTGCGAGTATGAGGTCAGCTTGGACTGCAAAACAATTTTGTCTGCAGCAAACTAACCCAAACAAATTTGTTTTGGTTTTGTTTTGCCAGTCCTGCGGCTTGAACTCAGGGCCTGAGCACTGTCCCTGAGTTCTTTTGCTCAAGACTAGCACTCTACCACTTGAGCCACAGTGCCACTTCTAGCTCTTTTTGTTTATGTGGTGCTACAGAATTGAACCCAGGGCTTCATGCATGCTAGGCAAGCACTCTACCACTAAGCCACATTCTCAGCCCCCAAACAAAAAATTTATTTTTAAAATATTTTCAAATACCTATGCTTTGGTAGTAATAATAGCTTTTTAGTAAGTTAAGGCTTTCCATAGATTTAATTTAAACTCCCAATAACATAGTCCCCGAAGCAAGTAAACAAAATTTAGCTATTCAAAGGTAGCTTGTACCTATTGTATGCTACAATACTAATATGCAGTTCTGTTTCTAAATAGAGTTCCAGAAAATAATTTTTAAGAATTACCAATTTTTATTTTGACATTGGATGGTTTTACATTTTTTTCAATAACATGAAGAAAATTAAGAAATACTAAGAAACATTTTCGAACCTAATGTGCCTCTTTAGACACTTAAAAAATTTCTTTTGAAACAGGGTTTCAAATTTGTGTAGCATGGCTAACCTCAAATTGTAATTCTGCTTGAGCTTCCTGAGTGATGGGATTATAGGTATGTGTCACCTCACTTAGCTAATAAACTTTTAAAAACAAAATTATCTGTGGTTTTGTTCCCTTAAATTGAAAATAGCATGTTAGTGTTTAAAATAAGAAACTGATAACTAGCACAGAAAGTTTTAGATCTTGAGAAATAACACAAATCATTAACAAAAGATGAAAGTGAATACTACAACTCACACTTCTTATTTCCTTTCAGATATATGCCTATTTCAACTCAGAAGTATTTTTCAAGGATATTAATTCTTACTTGGATTTAGAGGCAAAAAGAGGAAAATGAATGACAAAGCCAGAACTTCTAAGTTGAAGCATTATTTTAGATTTCTTAGGCTAAAATCTTTGTATAGTTTTGTCCTTTGTTAAAATATATTTTACCAACTTTCAGATCCTGCAAAGTAGAATTCCTTTGTGTTGATTATTTCCTTTTAATTCAAGGTTGAATTAAAAGAATATCTGAAAATCAATGATACAATATATGAGGTTGACAGCAAAGCTGAGAATGTTATGACTTTTTCACGTCTCCTTAATTATAAGGTATGTTGAAAAGCCTTAAATCCCAAGTTTCCTTACTTTGGTGGGACTGGAGATAGTATTAACCTTTGAGAAAAATGGCTGATGCTTAATGTATGTTGGTCAATACAATACAAACAGCAGATTCATTGTAACTAGTTTTCAGGGGTTTTTTGTTTGTTTTGTTTTGTTTTGTTTTGTCAGTCCATGGGGCTTGAACTCTTGTGTGGGCCCTGTCCCTCAGCTCTTCAGCTCAAGGTAAGTGCTCGACAGCTTGAGCCACAGTGCCAGTTCTGGTTTTTCTAGTGGTTTATTGGAGATAAGAGTCTCATGGACTTTCCTGCCTAGGCTGGCTTTGAAGGGTGATGGTTAGATCTCATCCTCCTGAGTAGCTAGGATTTACTGGTGTGAGCCATCGGTACTTGGCTTGTTTTGTTTTGTTTTGTTTGCAGTGCTAGGGATTGAGTCCAAGTCTTTGTTCATATGCAGCTGGCACTCAACAGTGAGCCACAATCCCAGCGTTTATCTCCAATTTTAACATCAGAACACATGTATTTCTTTCTTTCATATCAGGTGTCTATGAAGTTGGGCTTTCTATAATTGCAGTATGCAAATACTAAGTGGCTGTTAGTAGCTGTGTCCAGTCTTCTTTCAAGGTTTGAAAGATACTGCCAACTCATGCATACATCCTGTTAGTGAACTCCTAGGTTTAAGAATTAAATTTTTTGTTTTTTTTGCCAGGTGCTGGTGGTTCACACCTTTAATCCTAGCTACTCAGGAGGCTGAGATCTGAGCATCACAGTTCAAAGCCAGCCTGGGCAGGAAAGTTCATGAAACTCTTATCTCCAGATAACCACCAGAAAACTGGAAATGGCGCTGTGGCTCAAGTGCTAAAGCACTAGCCTTGAGCTGAAGAGAGCAGGGACAGCGCCTAGGCCCACAGTTCAAGCCCCATGACTGACAAAAAAAAAAAAAAGAATTAAGTATTTTTATTTTAAAGGGCTACTGAATTGTAAGGAAATACATATTTACTAAATTATTTGTTAAATACCTTATTAACAAAACTACTACTTATTTTTTGCCTTGGGACTCTAAAAACCTCTACTATGATTATTATTTAGCAGCAACAAGAAAAATATATAGTCCATGTACTTGATATATTGGTGTATAAAAGTGTTGCTGTCTACAGTGTTAATATTTTACCATTTACATGGAGAATATTAAAAGGGAGAAAGGGACTGGTGGATCAGTAATGGGGTTTGAGCACAGGTGTGGTGCTTGCTAAGTACCACAGGAAGCGCAGCACTACCCCTTTTTTGTTGGTTATTTTCTAGACTGGGTCTTTATTATGCTTGGGCCAGGCTCAACAGTAATTCTTCAGTTTGTGCTTCCCTTTGTCAGCTGGATGACAGGCATGCCCTATATTCCCAGCTATCCTGCTTCCTATATAGGGGATGATAGGCATGTACTACTGCACTAACCCATTGTTTGAAATGGATGCTCAAGAACTTGTATGCCTGGGCTGGCCTTGAACCCAGACCCCCAGTCTCTACCTCCCAAGTAGCTAGAATAATAGACTTTTTATTTTTAATGTCTAAGACTGGACTCGAATCCAATACCTCACACTTTCACTTATTGTCTGGTTCTCTTTCAACTGAGCTATGCTTTCAACTCCAGGGTAATAGACTTGAGCCAAATATGTCCAGTTCTAAGTCTATATCTCAATTCATTTTCAGTAAAATAAAAGTGACTAAAGGAAATTTTAAATAACTTACCTTTTTTCATTTTCTTTTGAATTTTTTCATACCTGTATATTACTCAAATTACCATAATTTGATGCTAATTTCTTTCTGAAAGTAAATCTTATAATATGGTGAATCTGGTTTTGGAAGGTATTTATAATAGTAAAGAATATATCTTTATACACTCCATATTAAGATTTATTATTAGGACACATATTTGTTTTTCTCTGTGAACTTTTTTATCTGCTTTGTTGAAAATGGATATGTAGTAGAGTTACTAATAACAGTAACTTTTTTCACTACTTTAATTTACTACTTAATTCCTGTCATTTAAATAAACCTAAAGATCCCTCACTAATAGCCTAAGCAGAAAACACAATTTAATTTTGATGTTAGTACAGGCCTTTTTTTTTTGTCAGTTTTGAGCTTGAACTCCAGGCCTAACCTCTTTGGCTCTAGTCTAGTGCTCAACCACTTTCGCCACAGTGTCACTTCTGGTTTTCTGTTGGTTAGTTGGAGATAAGAGTTTCACAAACTTTCCTGCCAGGGCTAGCTTTGAATCACAATCCTTAGATCTCAGCCTCCTGAATATCTAGGATTATAGTATGAGTCACCAGCACCTTGCCAGGTTTAATTTTTTAAATATGCAGATTAATAAAGGAAATTGAAGGCTGGGAATGTGGCTTAGTGGTAGAGTGCTTGCCTAGCATGCATGAAGCCCTGTGTTCAATTCTGCAGCACCACATAAACAAATCAGAAGTGGCACTGTGGCGAAAGTGGTAGAGTGCTAGCCTTGAGCAAAAGAAGCTCAGGGATAGTGCACAGGCCCTGAGTTCAAGCCCTAGAACTGGCAAAAAAAAAAAAAAGTTGAGAGTTTTAGATGGTGCATGTATGTGCGTGTGTGTAAGTGTGTAAGAGATGGAGTACTGGGCTCACACCAGTATTGGGACTTGAACTCAGGGTTTGAGTTCTCACTTGACTTTTTAGCTCATGCTAGCACTTCACCACTTGAGCTCCAGTTCTGGCTTTTTTCTGATGATTAGAGATAAGAGTCTCTCAGATTTGTCTGCACAGCCTGGCTTTAAACTTCAGTCCTCAGATCTCTTGAGTCACCAGTGTCTGATTGGATGTGTGACTTATTTTTCAAATCACATACATAGTAAGTTGATGATCTCTCAAGGATACTAACTACTTGGAACTTATTGCTGTTTTGCAGTATTCTGATACCCTCAAAAAGATGGATCCTGATCACTTGGTAGCATTGGTGTCAGAAGTTATTCCCAATTATTCCTGCTTAGTTTTTTGTCCCAGTAAGAAGAATTGTGAAAATGTAGCAGAAATGTTATGCAAATTTTTAAGCAAGTATGTTAATCTTTTTAATATATTCGGTTATACTTTATTTCTATCATAGATTACAGATTGTGTATTCTGTTTGTTGAAAGAGCACTCATTACTTCTTAAAGAACATTGTATTATTCTAGATTTTGAAGGAACTGTCCTTGAAGGAAAAAATTCACATATGAAACAGATATCCTAAGTTGCATTTAGAATGATAACTGATAGAATCCGTGACTTTAGATTAGTGAGTTGAAACCTTGGCTGACCAGTTAATCACTTCAGAGATTTAAAAAATCATCATGTCTAGGTTGCATCTTAAACAAATTAGAATCTAGAGTGAGCCCTATAAAACAGCCAAGATCTAGATCTACTGACTTAGCAAGTCAAAGGACTAATCACTGTAGAAACAAATCATATCTTCAGCTTAACTTTCTCTTTAATTAAATATTATTGTCTTCATTTTCCTGGGCAACTTCTTACTTTGAATTTAATTTCCAAAGTAATTAAGAAATGCACTGGTTTTGAAGTTTAGAATTAAAGAAATTATTGTTAATTTAATATTTATTATTATAAAGGTGATATAGAGAAGGAGTTACAGTTATATAATTCAGGCAAAGAGTGCATTTCTTTGTGGGCAGTGTCACTTCTTTCCTCACTCTTCTAGTGTTTCCCTCATTAATGATATTCTAATGTTAGCTCTGTCCCTCCTGGGGCTAACGATAAAGTAAATTTAAGTATTCACAATTCTAGTTTTTCTACACATGTCCTATGTTTGTTTTTATTTTTCTAGATTTTTTTTTTTTGCTTCTTATCTTGGGCCATGTTAACAGTCAGAGATTATTAACTTGGGTTTTAATCTAGTCATCCATCTATCCCAATTCTCTAATTGGGATTGACCTGAAATAGAATTTGATTCATGGACTAATACAAAAGGAAGGAATTGGCTCATTTTGGTAATTATTTGCCTTTGCAATGATGATATTAATTATAGAAATTTAAAGAAAGTTTAAACTATCATTAAAGTTTTCTCTATAAATCACTTTTTAAGAATAATTTAAGGCATTAAGACACAATATTACATAATTGTATATTATCTATTACTAAGATTTCCAAAGTGCTATTTTAGACACATTTTACCATATAGATGGTAAGATTTAATACATATTCCCATCTTCACAGAAAAAATGTATGCCTTAAAATCAAAGAAACCATGTTCTATAAAGGTACATCTTATACCAACAATCTAAACTTGGCATCTGTAGATTTATGGAACGTATAGGGCTGAACCCCACAAACATGAAATTGCATGCAAAGTATGTGTTTATATTTCTCCTTAGCATTAATGATGTCTTAAAGGGTTCTGTGATACATACAAACATTGAGAGAGAATGCATAATAGTTAAGGAAGTCAAGATCCAAATTCCAAGAACGTTTGATATATTTATACACATGAAAGGAAGACTTCTTTTTCTTTCTCTTTTCCTTTTCTTTTTTTGATGCCTGTCTGGGGCAAAACTAGGGCTTGGGTGCTGTGCAGTCCCTCAAGTTTAGGGCTCTATCACTTTGAGTCACAGCACCATTTCTGGCTTTTTGGACATTAATTGGAGATAGGAGTCTCGTGGACTTTCCTGCCCCGGCTGTTTTGGAACTGTGATCCTCAGATCTCAGGCTTTTGAGTAGTTAGGATAACAGGCATGAGCCACCTATAACCCCCAGGAAGAGATTTTTTAATAGAATCCTACTAAAATGAAAAATGGTATGTTCGTTGTTGCTATAAAATCAAGGGTTCTTATTTTAGGGATTTTTTTTTTAGGGCACATCTGAAACACAGGGAGAAAGAAAAATGTGATGTGATTAAGAACTTGAGGAATGCCAGCAATGGCAACCTGTGTCCAGTCTTAAAGCACACTATCCCATATGGAGTTGCCTACCACCACAGTGGCTTAACAAATGAGGAAAGAAAGCTCTTGGAGGAGGCCTACTCCACAGGGGTTCTCTGCCTTTTTACCTGCACATCCACTCTGGCAGCAGGAGTCAACCTACCAGCTCGAAGGTAAATGTTGGTAGGGTTCAGAACATTTCACCTCCTAGCTTGAGAGAAGTTTTTGTTTGTGTAGTCGGTGAGAATTTATAAAATGTTTTCATAGTATTTGCAAGTTGACAGTTTATTTCCTTTAATATTTTACTAAAAACTAACACTATTTCCTGGTATTCGAATTTCTTCTTTCTTGCTCTCCCTATCTGCTTTTGGTTTGAGGTTGTTTGTTTCTTCTTTCTTGTCTGATTTTTTATCCCAGTTATGTAGGAAGAATTGGCAAAGTTCACACAGTTTTGTTTGTTTTTTTTGTTTTTGTCTATCATGGATCTTGAACTCTGGACCTGGGTGCTGTCCTTGAGTTCTTCAGCTCAAGGCAAGCGTGCCATCACTTGAGCCACAGTACCACTCCCAGTTTTCTTGTGGTTAATTGGGGATAAGAGTCTCACAGACCTTCCTGCCTGGGCTGGCTTTGAACCTTGATCTTCAGATCTCAGACTCCTGAGTATCTAAGATTACAGGCATGAGCCACCGGCACCGAGCTAAACTTAACAGTTTTTGTGACTCAACATAGGGTTACCAATGAAAATAGAACATTTTGAAATCTTGAAGAAGTTATGCATAAAGCTGGGCTGGGGATGTAGAGTAGTTGGTAGAGTGCTTACCTAGCATTCCTGGTGCCCTGGGTTTGATCCCCAACACCGGAAATAAAAGGAGAGGGATCTGTGATTTATGAAGCCATTTAACTGTTGCAACATTTTTCTGTGGCAGATACTGAATCTTTGAATTCTTTTTTTTTTTTTGGAGGGGGTCCAGTTGTGGGGCCTGAACTCTGGGCCTGGGCACTGTCCCTCAGCTCTTCAGCTCAAGGCTAGCTTGAGCCACAGCGCCACTTCCGGCTTTTTTCTTTTTGCTTATGTGGTGCTGAGGAATCAAACCCAGGGCCTCATGTATGCAAGGCAAGCGCTGTACCACTGAGCCACCTTCCCAGCCCTGAATCTTTGAATTCTTAATTGATTTCTACTCTTTACAATTTATGAGTATGAGTTTTTTTTTCTTCTAATGAGTGATTTTAAATAATGTGATTTAAAAGATGTTTATTTTTCTGGGTATGAAAGATTTATGTTTTAATGGGATTGCAGTTAATTATGTTCTTTCTGTTTTTATTTTAACTTTTTAATGCTTTGCCAAGTTGAGAGAACTATATTAATCTCTCATTGTAAGTAGTTGTCAGTTTCTCCTTTTTGGATTTCTAGAAGGTTTTACTATTTTCAGTTAACATGTCATTAAACTTAGTATTACAGATATATAATGAAATTAAGAATTTAAAAGAAGGTCCTGTTACTATAGATTGACTATTACTTTTAATTAATTTTGTCAATTCTATAGAGTTATTTTACGAGCTCCCTATGTTGCTAAGGAATTTTTAAAGAGGAATCAATATAAACAGATGATTGGCAGAGCTGGTCGTGCTGGAATAGATACTATTGGGGAAAGTATCCTTATAATGCAAGAAAAAGACAAGCAGCAGGTAATATGATTTGTTTACCATCTGGTTGATTGTTTATGTTTCTTGGTTTTACATCTGGCATTTATATGAGAGTATCTCTTAAGAGCTAATTATTAATGTTCCTTGAGAAGACGGTTCCCTCCTATATGATTGTGATTTGGAGAGAGTATTTGAATATATTTCAGACAATGAGAACAATATTTGTCCTACTTGTCTGTTTTTAGTTTTAAAATTATTGCAATTTTGTCCAAATTTTAGTTTTATTTTTTGACCCCCCCCAAGATTTATTTAAAGTATAAAACCTGTTTATTTTAATAATAAATAAATAAATTAAATTTTTAAAAATATTTTAAAATAATAAAAAACCTGTTTATTTTAATAATAACATGTAATGTTGCTTTAACTTTTATAGGTCTTGGAACTAATAAGCAAGCCATTAGAAAACTGTTATAGTCATCTTGTTCAAGAATTCAACAAAGGAATCCAAAGTTTGTTTCTCTCTTTGATTGGTTTGAAGGTATTTTTAAAGATTTAAAAAAAAAACTTTACTACTAATATCTAAATTAATAGAGCTTAAAAATTATGCAATTAGTTAAGAACTTTGTTGCAAAGAAACTTTATGCCCAAACAACTTCCCTGATGAATTCCAGCATGCATTTAAGCAAGAAATAATACCAGTTGGACGCATACTCTTCCACAATATAGAAGAAGAAGAAATACTGCTTATCCCTTTTTATGAGACCAGCATTACTGTGATACTAAAACCAGACCCTCCCCCTCAAAAAAAACCCAGAAGAAAACTACTAACCAAAATTGTTGATGTACATCGATACAAAATACTGTAGTATGAGCAAGCCACCAAGACAGTAAATGAGTAATGTGCTATAATCAAGATTTTTTGAGTAATGTAAAATTGGTTCAACATTAAAAACTCAAGCCAAGCATCATGCAACATGCCTATAATCTCAGCATTCAGGAGGCAGAAGCAGGAGAATCCCCTGTTCAAGCCCAGTACGGGTTACATAGAGAGTTTAAGACTAACTTTAGCTACACTGTAAGACCCTAACTCAAAAACACAAGGGTTTATGATGTAGCTCAGTGTACAGCTCTTGCCAACATGCATGCAGCCCTGAGTTAAAGCCCTAGCATTAAAAACCAAAAACAGGAGGAAAAAAGTTCTTTAATCATATTGTTAGAATTCAGCATGCACTCATAATTAAAAACAAGAAAATTTAGGATTAAGAAATAACTTTTCCAACCTAATAAAGAGTGTTTATTTGAAAACCTGAGGTAACATTGTACTTAACTGAAAAATCAAGTATTTTAGCCCTGAGATCAGGAAAAGCAAAATGCCTGACCTCACCAGACTGTTTCAAGTTATAGGCAGCACAGGAAAGTAGATTGGAAAGAAAAAAGTAAACCATCTTATTTGCTTTTCTGACACTAAAAAACAACTAGAATGTAGTTAGCAATGTTATAGAGATCTAAAGTACAAAACTCAGCTATATTTCCAGATACTATAAATAATGAGAAAAACATTTTCACTTACAAAAGCACCAAGAAATAGGAATAAACAGAAGATATGTGCTAGGTCTATACAATGAAAACCATAAAACACTACTGAGAAAAACTCAGCAAGGCATAAGTACATGGAGATATATTCATGAACTGGAGTGATTTAGCTTTGTCTATGTTCCTTTTTCTCAAATAGATCTGTACAGTCAGCACAATCCCAAGAATAAAAATCTCAAGAGATTTTTTTTTGGTCGGTTGTGGGACTTGAACTCTGGGCTTAGGCACTGTTCCTGAGCTCTTCAGCTCAAGGCTAGTGCTCTACCACTTGAGCCCCAGCACCACTTCCAGTTTTCTGAGTGGTTTATTGGAGATAAGAGTCTCACAGACTTTCTTGCTTGGGCTGGCTTTGAACCCCGATCCTCGCATCTCAGTCGTGTGAGTAGCTAGAATTACAGGCATGAACCACCAGCACCCAGCTAACACACTCCATCCTGATGCCAGTATTTGGATTAATAAACTGTTTTCTCTTGTAGTTTTTATGCTAGCTTCACCAGCTATGATGTTCTCTTGCCATGACTTCTAATTGTCATGTACCATATATTTAGAATTTAGGAAACTCTTGTAGAGAAACTATAGCTGCACAGAGAATTCTAAATCAACCTAACATTGAAAAAGGAAAAAAATTACAGGCCCTCATTTCTTTTCACTGATGACTAAATCCCAGTGTTTCACACTGCTTGGCATGTATTCAGCACTCAATAAATACTTGAATGAATAATAGGATTTTGGAATGGTGCCTGGGTAAACTTGCTACATTGGGTAAACTGGGTAAACTTGGGACATTGGTAGAATTCAGTTTTGAGAAAAGGTGGAGGCCAAAGAGGCAAATGCTGGACTAATATGTTTAAATCTCAAGGAGGAAGGGAAGGCTAATGTGAAGGCAGATAGATGAAAAAAGTCAAAGTCCTCACCTGGACTGGCCTACCTGGCTCCTATAGTGTTAACTGTAATCAGTCAGGTAGGAAGCATGATGAGAACAAAGTATGCTAATAATCCATAGACTAAATATGATATTTATTTCAGCTTGATAATGTATTGAGAATGATTGTTACTAAAAGGAAAGAGAAATGAAAATTTTGTTGCCCTATAATATTTTTCTTATCCCTTATATTAGTCTAATGTGAAATAATCACTAAAATTTTCCAGTGGAAGTATCATCAGAATTGTAAGAGAAATATTGATTGACCAGGCTGGGAATGTAGCTTAGTGGTAGAGTGCTTGCCTGGCACACATGAAGCCCTGGGTTCAATTCCTCAGTACCACATAAATAGAAAAAGGCTAGAAGCTGTGTCTCAAGTGGTAGAGTGCTAGCCTTGAGCAAAAGAAGCTCAGGGACAGTGCCCAGGCCCTGAGTTCAAGCCCCAGGACTGACAAGATAGATGACTTTATTTTAGTACAACGTGCTGATATTATTGAAATTGACTAATAAAAGATTGTTGTCATTCATAGTTAATTCAACACCTTAATACCAAGCAGAATATGTAAGTGTTACTTATTTATGATCGCTGATAGACATTGTAATAGTGAATATTAGGTGGAGAGCAAAAGGGAATGACAATGAGATAAAAAGATAAGTATTATTTATTTTTAGGTAACATTTCTGGCAAGTATTGACAGATCATATTTTGGTGAATTCTTTCAGTTGAATTTTCAATAATGTGATTTTAAAAAGTTGTGGGGGGGGCTGGGAAGGTGGCTCAGTGGTAGAGCGCTTGCCTTGCATGCATGAGGCCCTGGGTTCAATTCCTCAGCACCACATAAGCAAAAAGAAAAAAGCCGGAAGTGGGGCTGTGGCTCAAGTGGTAGAGCGCTCGCCTTGAGCTGAAGAGCTGAGGGACAGCGCCCAGGCCCAGAGTTCAGGCCCCATGACTGGACCCAAAAAAAAAAAAAAAAGTTGTGGGCAGGGGTTGTTTTTGTTTTTTGTTTTTTTTTTGTCAGTTGTAGGGCTTGAACTCTGGGCCTAGGCACTGTCCCTCAGCCCTTCAGCTCAAGGCTAGTGCTCTACCACTTGAGCCACAGTGCCACTTCCAGTTTTCTGAGTAGTTTATTGGAGATAAAAGTCTCATGGACTTTTCCTGCCTGGGCTGGCTTTGAACCGAGATCCTCAGATCTCAGTCTCCTGAGTAGCTAGGATTACAGGTGTGAACCACTGGCACTTGGCTAAAAAGTTGTTAAAAAGTTTTTTGTTTTGTTTTGTTTTAAGCTGGGCACCAGTGGCTCACACCTGTAATCCTAGCTACTCAGAAAACAGATCTGAGGATCATGGTTTGAAGCCAACCTGGGCAGAAAAGTCCCTGAGAGACTCCTATCTCCAATAAACCACTCAAAAACTGGAAATGGTGCTGTAGTTCAAGGCTCAGGAACAGTGGCCAAGCCCTGAGTTCAAGACTCTCAACCAACAACAAATCCAAAAAAAGAAAAAAAAAACAGTTTTTAAATTAAAAAATACATATGTTTTCATAAAAAGCATGAATATGAGAACTACATTTTCCCTTAAAGTTGCTTTTCCTGTTAACTTACACAGTTGTATAGATTTTATACTAATTGTTAATTTAAATAGCTTTAAATAAATTATAAATTTAATTACAGGATATGGGAAGGCTGGGCAGTGGTTGCAAGGAGACCATGAGGAGTTTGCTTCTCTTTACCTCCAATTCATTGTTTATAAAACAGGAATAATGCTATGGAATATATAGGAATAAATAGGCTTCTTTGATTAATGAATATAGTAATGCCTGGGATTAAGGAAAATGTCCTAATGATGTCCACCATTGTTTCAGATTGCAACAAATCTCAGTGATATATATCAGTTTATGAATGGCACATTGTTTGGTGTTCAGCAAAAGATTTTATTGAAAGACAAAAGTCTCTGGGAAGTAACTATTGAATCACTTAGATACCTAACAGAGAAAGGACTTCTACAAAGAGAGACTGTTTGTAATTCTGAAGAAGAGTTACAATGTAATTTTCATATTACAAAATTGGGAAGAGCTTCTTTTAAGGGTAAGAGTTTCCTTAAGCCTCATTATTAATCTAAGAAAATTCATTGGAAAAATAGAAATTAAATATTCTCTTTGTATTTGTGTCCATATTAATAGCACTAATATCATAAACTGATAAGCTATGTCAGCTTAAATTGAAAATTATGAATTGAATATTAATTTTAATTATAAAGTAATTAAAATACTGTACAAGTATATATAGACAAAAGTTCATTATTCCTCCTTTGATTTACCTCCCCAGCAACCACACAGATTTTAATATTTTACCCAATATAACAGTTTGTAGAATGTCTTTCCCTACCTTCCCATGCATTTCATTTCAGTTCATAATACATGTATATATACAGTTTTAAGTTTTTGCTTGTAAACAAATAATCTTTTATATTCTGGAATTTTCTTTTGGGCTTAATATAATAACATTATTCTGTGCTTGAATAAAGACATTCTTTTCTTTTTTGTGCCTGTACTGGAGCTTTGAACTTCTTTTTCTCTTTTTCTTTTTTCTTTCTTTTTTTTTTTTTTTGCCAGTCCTGGGGTTTGAACTCAGGGCCTGATCACTGTCCTTGAGGTTCTTTTGCTCTAGCACTCTTATTGCTTGAGCCACAGTGTCACTTCCAGCTTTTTCTGTTTATGTGGTACTGAGGAATCCAACCCAGGGCTTCATGCATGCTAACCAAGCACTCTACCACTAAGCCACATTCCCAGCCCTTGCTTAGCTTTTTCAAGGCTGGAACTCTGCCAGTTAGGACAAACCTCTACTTCCAGCTTTTTTTTTCTTTTTTGGTTGGTTATGGGGCTGGAACTCTGTGCCTGGGCATTGTTCCTGAACGTCTTTTGCTCAAGGCTAGCACTCTACCACTTGAGCTACAGTGCCACTTCCAGCTTTTTCTGTTTATGTGGTATTGAGGATTCGAACCCAGGGCTTCATGCATGTGAGGCAAGCACTTTACCACTATGCCACATTCCCAGCCAAATTAGGAATTCTTTTAACTCCTGTCCTATTTCCTCTATCAGGAGCTACACGGGGTGGTAACAGCTGGATGTGTGGCCTGCCCCATACAGTCACATACTGCATAATGATGTTCTTGTCAACAGCCAACCATGTGCACAATGGTGGTCCCATGAGATAGATATCATCCCATGGTGGTGTCATTAGCCATGGTAGATGTCAACACAGGACAAAATGTCCTTCGAGTCATCAGCTGAGATGACTTTGTGTGTACATATGTTTGTATACATAGATACAGGTTTTTGGAAATCTTTAATTTTTTTTATTATAAAGGTAATATACAGAGGAATTTCAGTTAAGTAAGTCATGTAATGAGTATATTTCTTTTTCAGTGTCACCTCTTCCCTCCCAGTTTTTCCCTCCCCTCCCCACCAACAAGTTATATAGTTCATTTTCAACATAGTATTCAGTGATTAGCCCTGCTGCATTTGTTCATCTTTTGTCCTTTCAGCACATAAGTTTCTTAATGGTATATTTTTTGTTGGCAAACATTCCTATTTATAAAATGTCATGAGCACTTTAACAGATCAACTATTTTAAAATTATCACATCTTACCTTTAATAGTTTAGACATCCATAGTTGGATATAACATAGATTATTTAACCAACCATCTATTGATGGATGTTTTCATTGTTTCTGATGATAAACAAGGATGCATGAAAATCTTGATTTCTGTATTTTGGGTAAATACTGAAACATTTTTCTTGGGTAGATTTTTAAAAATAGTTGGACCAGATATTAAGGACTTTTTACTATATTTAGATAACTTTTAAGCAAAACTTAATTTAGGGCTGGGAAACTCAGTAATAAATTTGTGTGGCATGTATGAGGCCTTGCATCCAATCTCCAACATTGGCAAACAACAAAAGATAAGATTTAATAAACGATTGAGGATTCAGCTCAGAAACAGAACATCTTTCTAGCATTGAACCTCAATACTGCAAATAAACAAAAATTAAATAAACAAGACTTTATTTAAAATCACTTCTTGCCCCCTCTAGTAATAATGAAAAAATGTAATGTTTGTATCTTTAGGAACTATAGATTTGGCTTATTGTGACATTCTCTACAGAGATTTGAAGAAAGGTCTTGAAGGACTTGTGCTTGAAAGCCTTCTTCATCTAATCTACCTAACAACTCCCTATGATCTGGTTTCTCAGTGTGACCCAAATTGGATGATATACTTCAGGCAGGTGAGACTATAAGATGTTTCCATTAGGCTACTTAGTTTATTAATCATGAAAATGATTTTTGTCAAATGATTTTCTTTTTGGTCTATTAAAATATATTTAGAATTGCCTTTTTTCTTTTCTATTAGTATATGTTAATTGTACAAAATAACAGGTTACATGTTGATGTTTTCATGTATGTATATATAAAATAGTAACGACAACATTTTTATTTATTGAACTTAAGTATTATTTCTCTGTTAAATATTGCAGAGAGACAGACAGAGAGATTATCCCAAAGACAGTTTTATTAAGATTTGATAAGGCCTTATAATGCATAAAGCAAATGATGCAAATGTTGCTGATGATTGGGTTTAATTATGTGAAATCTCTATCAGAGCAAAGCATGATGATGTATCAAATCTGATAATGATTATATCTGCAAAGCAATATTTATTTTATAGCCAGTAGCAAGGGGAAACTGGCCCTACCTTATTAGCAGAGCCAAGTGGTGAAGTGCAGTGTATTATGACTTTACTGTGACTGACTGATTGAATTGGTATCAGAGAGAAACAGTATCCCTACTACCCTTAGTGATGGTAATTAAATCCAGGGCTTTCCATGTAGCAAGCTAAGCATGTGCACTACCACTCTGCTACACCTTTGGTGCATACATTTTTTAGTCAAAGAAAATGTAACTTCTTTTGTAATGTCATAGTTTAAAGTCATTGTTACGTCTTTAAAGTGGTGTTGTATAATACTGTCACAATGTTTCCCTCTTCCCAGCTATCTGCAATATTAAACATAATCACATAGACCATGGAAACTAGTGCATGCGTCACCTAATGATGGAGATGTGTTCTAAGAAGTTTATTTCTAGGCAATTTCATCATTATGTGAACAGTCCTATGGAGACCACTATGATATATGTAATAAATGTTAGCTAAAGCATGAAGCATCAATTTGCTGTATATGACTGTAATTCTATTGATGTAGAATATTTACAGTATTTGTTAATTTATGTCATTTGTATATCCCTTAATGAATCCTTTAATGAAAATGTGACCTCAGTGTAAATACTGGATTTGACTTAAATGACACCTTTTTTTATTACATCTTTTTTTTTTCATGTGTTTACTCTTTAGTTTAATCAACTCACACCTGCAGAACAAAATGTAACTTCTCTTCTTGGGGTTTCTGAAAGCTTTATTGGGAAGAAAGCAGCAGGTCAAGCCATCAGGAAGGTACTATAGTCTTTTTTTCCTCTTAAATGATAAACTTAAGTTCATTAAAAAAATATTATGTCATCTCCATTGTTATGTTGATCTTTTTGCTTCACATTCTTTTTCTTTTAATTAGCACTATTCTCATTTTGCTATTGAAACGAATATATACTGAACATTGTAGTACAAGCTTGTAATCCCAGCATCCAGTAGGCTGAGGCAGACAGTAAGATCACAAATTCATGTCAGCTTGGACTACATAGAAAAACTCAATAATATCTAAACACCAGAAATGGGTGACTTTTTAAAAACAATATTTCTGGATGATATGATGGCATTTTTGTTGGAATTGTTGTATCTTTGTGTCTCTGAAATATTTTTTCATATGTATATAATACTATCATAAAAAGTGATCAACTGTATTAATCTCTCCTTAGGTTGTATGCTTATCTTATAAAAAGTAGAAAATATTTATAAAATTATTTTTTAAATATATAATTCTAAAATGTTTTCTTAATTTTAATTTATTAATGAATTTTTTCCAAAGAAGGGATTTAACCATGACCTTGAGCATGTTAGGCAAGCTCTGTACTGTTAGGCAACATTCCCAGTCCCTAAAGCAGCAAATATATTTTCCAAAAACTTCATGATAGATGTCATATTTGATATCAGCAATTCCAAAGTAGGAAAGATCTGGATTTTTGTTTATTGTCCTCAGAATCTCTTAGCATGTCCTTGCAGTACGGGAAGCATTGTAGAAGATTAGCATTTATAAGCTAATACTCCTGGTTTTGTGTGTGTGTGTGTGTGTGTGTGTGTGTGTCTGTGTGTGTGTCTGTGTCTGTGTCTGTGTGTGTGTGTGTGTGTGTGTGTGTGTTTGCGTGTTTGCTTGAACTCAGCACTTGGGCATTGTCCCTGACCTTTTTTTTTTTTTTCCTCAAGGCTAGCACTCTACCACTTAAGAGTCACAGCTCTACTTCTGGTTTTCTGGTGGTTAATTGGAGATAAAAGTCTCACAGACTTTTCTGCCTAGGCTGCCTTTGAACTGCAATCCTCCGATCTTAGCCTACTGAATAGCTAGAATTACAGGCGTGAGCCACCCACCCAACTTCTACTTAGATCGTTAACGTATGCAGGCAATGCTGATCTCATTTTCAAAGATAAAAGATGGCATTTACTTTCATGTACATTGAATAATGCAGCTATTCCAACCATTGCTATATCAAAATTAAAAAACATGTAATATTTAAGCATTCGTTTTTTCACTTTTTAGATTGAGTCTTTTACCTTAGAAATGGCTTTGTTGTTTAGATTTTCAATTTTGTGTTGGGTTTTGTTTTGTGACAGGGTCTCACTATGTAATCCTGGCTGGCTTCACACTTGGGATCCTCCTGTTTCAGCCTCTCAAGTACTGAGATTACAAGCTTTCAAAATGTTGAACAAAAATACTTTTTAACATATATACCTTTTATGTCAAACTCTCAAATCTAAAATCATGATTTGGAACTATTACCAAGTAATACTTCTATTCACTACTATCTTTTTTAAGTTTTGACCCAGAATTTAATTTGTTACATTTAATTTGTTACTTTTTAAAAATATTTATTTGGCTACCTCCTGTGTTTCTTTGGCTACCACAAGTGTGTATATGTGTGTGTCCCATGCTGAAACCTGACCTCCGGGCCTTGTGTTTCTTGCTTGATCTTATTTTTGCTCCTTGCTTGTGCTCCAAGACTTGAGCCATGCCTCCAGTTCCAATTTGTTAATTAAAAGAATTATTTATTTTTGTTCTTTATTTATTTATTTTCCTTTTTTTGGTGGGGGGGTCTGGTCGTGGGGCCTGAACTCTAGGCCTGGGTGCTGTCCCTCAGCTCTTCAGCTCAAGGCTAGCACTCTACCACTTGAGCCACAGTGCCACTTCCGGGTTTTTTTCTTATGTGGTGTTGAGGAATTGAACCCAGGGCCTTGAGCATGTGAGGCAAGTGCTCTACCACTGAGCCACCTTCCCAGCCCCTCTTTTTTTTATTTTTGAGATGGGTCCTGTTATATAGCTCACACTGGCCTTAAACTCACAATCATCCTTGTCACACCTGAATTACAGCTGTGCACCACCACACCTGGCTCAGTTGTGTTATATTTTATCTAATATAGTCAATAAATACTTGTTGAGTAATTGAGTATTTGAAGAATATGAATTTATCTCATTTAAAGTGAATTTGTTACTAGTTTAGCATTCTAAGCAAGTACTCTACATTTGGGCAAAACCCATAGACCCTAGAAATTCTAAAGAGCATGATACATAAAATCTAATTGATTTCTCCATATTCTTTTTTACATATTTCTTGCAAACGACTTTAAAATCAGCATAAAGCATTTTGCTCTGTAATTAAATCATTTTTCTTGGCTTCAGAAATACATTCTAAGCAAAACCTACATTAACTCAATTTATAGTTACTAGTAAAGGTACATTAAAATTGAGAAATTAAAAAGCTATCTTTTTCTACTTGATATTCAACTACCATAGTTTTTTAGCTTAATGCTTTTCATTTTATTTTATCTTTTGGTTATGGGGCTTGAACTCAGGGCCTGGGCACTTCTCTGAGCTTTGTTGCTCAAGATTAGCTACTTGACTACTTTGAGCCACAGCTATACTTCCACTTTTCTTGTGGTTAATTGGAGATAAGAGTCTCATGACTTTCCTGTTCAGGGTGGCTTCTTACTGTCATCCTCAAATCTCAGCCTCCTATGTGGCTAGGCTTACAGGCGTGAGCCACCAGCACTGACCTAGCTTAATGCTTTAAAAAAAAATACCCGTAATGAACATGTAGAATGTAAAATCTGTAATTCCAAAATCTTTCATCCTGTTACTTTTGAAAGGATCAATGAAAGGATCCTTCACATCCATGCCCGGGGACCACACAGAGGCAGGCAGCATAGGAGAAAGATTATTTCAGGATTTATTAGAGGAGCCATATTTCCCCTGGAGAGGGAGCACACTGAAGCCTCCACTATCTAGGTAGCAGCAGGGTCTGAGGGATAGGAAGTGAAGTAGATGGGGTTCAGGTGGGTCTGGGTGGAGAGAGGGAGGGGCCAGCTGTGTGGCAGGAAGGGAGGAGCTCAGGTCTGGGTGGAGCTGAGGACCAAAGGTGGGCATAATACTTACATTCCTCGATCTGTTGTTTAATAAAAACCGGGGTACCAGGCCGGGGGAGGGGGTATGGGCAGAGTTTGTTTGTCTGGAGCTACTTCCTGCTGAGGGGGGCACTGTAAGGGGAGAAGGGGTGCCAGGTACTGTACGTGAAGTTGACCAAGGTCATGATGGTTATGAAGATGTTACTTGTCCAGTAACTTCTCATTTCAGTCATGAGGGGGAATGTAATTTTTTTTCCCCAGAAGACCAGCTTAAGCTAGCCTCAAAATTTTAATCCTCCTACCTCAGCCTCTCAAGCATTGTGATTGTTGGTATGCACCACTACCACACCTAGCTAATTCTACATTTTTCTTTTCTTTCTCTGAAGTTCATCCTCTTTTTCTTTTGATTTTAAGCATGAATTAGTTTCAAAGTTAGCTTGATACTAGCAATGAGGTACTTTATGCAAAAATATAGTCACTAGATATACCACTGGCAAAAGTAGGTACCCAGAACAGAAGCTGTCAACCACAGGAAGTATTTTTCTATCCCTTTTACTATCTTACCTTTGGAAATATTATTTTTCTTTTTCTTTTTTTTTTGGGGGGGGGGCCCGGTCGTGGGGCCTGAACTCTGGGCCTGGGCACTGTCCCTCAGCTCTTCAGCTCAAGGCTAGTGCTCTACCACTTGAGCCACAGCACCACTTCCGGCTTTTTTCTTTTTGCTTATGTGGTGCAGAGGAATCGAACCCAGGGCCTCAGGCATGCAAGGCAAGCGCTCTACCACTGAGCCACCTTCCCAGCTCCGGAAATATTATTTTTCAAAACCATGTAGAAATTGTAGCACAGTATTTTATAATAGAGAAAGGGTTTTTAATGTATTTATGTACGTACATTTGTCTAACATAATCACAGTCATTCACAGATACACACACACACACACACCATTAAACAAACAACTTAGTTCAAGAGACCACAGATTGAAATCACTTTGCCAGCAGCATTAATTTCTTCAGGAGTCTCTGAGGAATGAGCCTCTGTTTCCATGTTTCCTAGGTGACTTCATTTAGAGATCCTCAATTAACTGTATCTGCAAAGGTCCTATACCCAAGCAAGGTCACAGATGTGGGTACCATGTTTAGGACATGAATGTTTTTGCTTTTTGTTTTTTTGTTTTTAGGATAGTATAATTCTACTACTGTATTCCCAGTAGAAGGAAGTTTGGTTTAAATTCAAAAATTGGAAACAGTTTGACACGTCTCTTTCTTATAGTTGAAAAACTGAGAGTCAGTGTAATCTAAAATATATGTTTAATCAGTTCTGTTTCTATGAGGTTATTCTTGCCTCACTAACCTGTAGTACAACTTTACTGTCATTCCATCTAAAATTACTTATTTGATTATGTCTTTCTAGAAGGTGGACAAGGATATTGTCAACAGACTCTACCTATCGTTTGTTCTTTATACCTTGCTCAAGGACACTAACATTTGGAGTGTGTCTGAAAAATTTAATATGCCCAGAGGATACATACAAAGCCTGCTTATTGGAGCTGCCTCCTTCTCCTCCTGTGTGTTACACTTCTGTGAGGTAATTCAGATGAATGCATGCTGGTCCTTTTTGTTTTAACTGTTAGTAGGTAAGTATTTTTTCATAGTTAACTTACATTATTTCAAAACAGTCAAGATTTATTTCAAAATCCATCCTTGTTTTTAGGAAAAATTACTGAATCAACTAAAATATGTAATAACTAGTAGAAAATGTATAGTTTTCCCTACATTAGGGTCACCATTAACAGTTTTGGTATCTAGAATGAACTGTTGAAAACAGCCTTTTTCCATAATGGTAATTTCTATGTCAGTATTTTTCTTATGAGTGATAAATATGTCTGGTGTTTGGGTGGTAAGTTACCATTTCCAACAGTTGCTTAATGGGTTCAGTACCATGTTTTTCTCTCTCTCTCACTCTCTCTTGCTCTCTCTCTCTCTTGCCCTCTCTCTCTCGCTCGCTCGCGCTCTCGCTCTCTTCTTGATATTCTTTCTTTTCCTTTGTTTGATGTAGGATTGTGAGGACATTAGCCTTGGAAAACAATCTATATGTAGACATAGAAAAATAACTCTAATTCTGATGGCTGATCCTAAGAAGTATCAGCTAACAACTGCTGATACACTTTTACTCCTTTAAAGTACTTTTTCTTTTTCTTTTTTTTTTTGGTCCAGTCATGGGGCCTGAACTCTGGGCCTGGGCACCGTCCTTCAGCTCTTCAGCTCAAGGCTAGCACTCTACCACTTGAGCCACAGCGCCACTTCTGGCTTTTTTCTTTTTTGCTTATGTGGTGCTGAGGAATTGAACCCAGGGCTGCAGGCATGCAAGGCAAGCGCTCTACCACTGAGCCACCTTCCCAGCCCAAGTACTTTCTCTTTTAAGAAAGTATGTAAGTGATATAAAATAGTAGGTTGATTATATTGGTGAAAATGATTTTAACTGCAAATAATAGAAAAAACTCCACAGAAAAACCAGAACTAAGGCAGTTCCAGGGTTGATTGGTTTGGTAAATCCAGTCAAAGATGGTCTTTTCTTTCATTTACTTTATTGCATTAACTGCTTTCTTTTCTTTTTTTTTGGTCGGTTGTGGAGCTTGAACTCTGGGCTTGGGCGCTGTCCCTGCACTCTTCAGGTCAAGGCAAGTGCTCTAATGCTTGAGCCACAGCATCACTTCCACTTTTGTAATGGTTTATTGGAGATAAGAGTCTCATGGACTTTCCTGCCCAGACTGGCTTTAAACCATGATGCTCAGATCTCAGCCTCCTGAGTAGCTAGGATTACAGGCGTGAGCCACCAGCACCCGGCTGCATTAACTGCCTTCTAACTGGTTGCAGTGTGTCCAGCTGATGTGTCCCATGTATCATGTATTTCCAGTGATAACCAAAGGTGAAGAACAACATTAAAAAAAAAAAACTACTGCTGGGCACTGGTGGCTCATGCATGTAATCCTAGCTACTCAGGAAGCTGAGATCTGAGGATCTCAGTTCAAAGCCAGCCCAGGCAGGAAAGTCCGGGAGACTCTTATCTCCAATAAACCACTAGAAAATAAACCACTAGAAAACCGGAAGTGCTTTGTGGCTCAGTGGTAGAGCTCTTGCCTTGAGCTAAAGAGCACAGGGACAGTGCCCAGGCCCAGAGTTCAAACCTCATGACCGACCAAAAAAACCCAAAACAAAACTACTATAACAGAAATTTTCAGACATGTATTTAAGAAGACAAATCTATATGATTCCATGCATATACTCACTCATGTTTGATAATTATTGACTCATGATTTCCAGTATTTCTATTCATTTAAATAATGCCATATTGAACATTATGTTGCATTCCAATTTTTCCATATTTAACATTTTTTCTGAATAAATACCCAGAGATAGGCACTGGTTTTAGTTACTTGGGAAAAAAATTATATGTAGTGCCTGAGGTTTTGATAAAAATGAATAGAGCTCTTATTTCCTCTGTGTGTGTGTGTGTGTGTGTGTGTGTGTGTGTGTGTGTGTGTGTGTGTACACGTATGTACATACTTACCAGTCTTGTGGCTTGAACTCGGGGCCTGGGCACTGACTCTGAGCTTTTGTGCTCAAAACTAGCACTCTGGCACATCAGCTTCACTCCTGGCTTTTTGGTGGTTAATTGGATGTAAGAGTCTCACAGACTTCCCTGTCCAGGCTTGCTTTGAACTGTGATCCTCAGATCCCAACCTAGCTAAGATTACAGGGGTGAGCCACCAGTGCCCAGACTTATTTTCCAATGTTTAATTTTTTTCCCTCCATCTAAAATTATTTCATTAAGTTTCTCAGAAGAGTCTCCAACATTTTTCCTCATACTAATTTTGATCAGAATCATCTTTCATTTCTGGCATAACTCAAGTTGAGGAAATAGATACAAAGATTTAAATATGCCCTTCCCACACAAAGTAAACTGAAATAACTTACAGAAGTTAGAGTTTATATATTTTTTTGTGTTTTGCAGGAACTTGAAGAGTTCTGGGTTTATAAAGCCCTTTTGGTAGAACTTACCAAGAAACTGACATATTGTGTAAAGGCAGAGCTAATCCCTCTTATGGAAGTGACTGGAATCTTAGAGGTCAGTAGCATCTCCATTTGTCAATTGAGGTTGTTTTGACTACCAGAAAAAAACAAGTTTTGCTGTTCTTCAAAGTCTTACTATAGAGCAAATAATAGCAATTACTTATTTGTTATGGAAGTTTTTGTTTGGTTTGGTTTCATTTTTAAGATAAATTGCTGCCACGGCCTCCCAGAAATCTTCTGCTAATTGAGAAGCAGACCTGATGAAAAGACTCGGTTGTGGAAAATAATAGTAATAATAACAGTAAGAGAAGGAGAGTTTCCTCAAGAATATGCGCTATCACTTGCCACTTGTACTAAGCTTCTCTTCCCTCCTCTGCTCCAGTGACAAACTACTTCTGGCCATTTGGTCTTGTTGTAGAAGCATTCTCTTAAGACAGTCTGAAGAAAGAGTTCTCAGTTGGTCGCTCTCTGATTTCCGTTAACCATCCACATTATCCACTTCATTTCTTAGTTCTGCTTGGATACACACACACACACACGCACGCACGCACGCACGCACTCACGCATGCACGCACACACGCACACACACACACTGATTTCCGTTAACCATCCACTTTATCCACTTCATTTCTTAGTTCTGCTTGGGTACACACACATGCATGCACGCACGCACACACACACACACACACACACACACACACACTCTCTCTCTCTCTCTCTCTCCTTGAAACATTTAAGATATTGGACTAGAACTTTTTTTTTTTTTTGGCCAGTCCTTGGGCTTGAACTTAGTTAGGGCCTGGATACTGTCCCTTACACACACACACACACACACACACACACACACACACACACACTTGGTCCTTGAAACATTTAAGATATTGGACTAGAACTTTTTTTTTTTTTTGGCCAGTCCTTGGGCTTGAACTTAGTTAGGGCCTGGATACTGTCCCTTAGCTTCTTTTGCTCAAGGCTAACACTCTACCACTTGAGCCACAGCACCACTTCGGGCTTTTCTGAGTAATTTATTGGAGATAAGAGTCTCACAGAGTTTCCTGCCGGGGTTGGCTTCAAACTGCAATCCTCAGATCTCAACCTCCTGAGTAGCTAGGATTATAGATGTGAGCCACCAGCCCTTGGCTGAACTAGAGCATTTTGCTTAGGTCAGTGCTATTCACCTAAGTGCCTTAATATCTTTCTCATTCCTGAGTTTAGCACATATCAACAGGTTTTAGCTGCATAAAATCTACTTCAAAGTCAGATTTGAGATACCCAAATGCACGTTAAAAACCTCTTCAGGATTCTGAGAAGTTATTTCTTCACAGTTTATTAGTTTATTCTTGTCTCTCGCATGTGGATTTTTTTTTTTGCACTATCTCATTTCTGATTCTGCTGATTTTTGTAACACTTTTCAGGGTCGGGCAAAACAGCTGTACAATGCAGGTTACAAAACTCTAATGCACTTAGCTAATGCAAATCCAGAAGTATTAATAAAGACCATTGATCACTTATCAAGGCGCCAGGCTAAGCAAATTGTTTCATCAGCAAAGGTAAGCATGTAAATCATTGTCTAACTTTAAAATACTTTATAGCATACCTCCATATACCTTAGGCATCAAAACAAAGTATCGAGTGCTGCGTACAGTTACAGACACAAAAATACATGTGCTCAGAATTTTGGGTATAATGCAAGACTTGCTAAGAGAAAGACCACCTTAAAAATATAGCTGGTTTTCAGGGTTCACTGAAATCCAGAGACCCCTGGAAGCCATTGGGCTCAGCTTCCCCACAGCCTCTTTACAGAAGTCCTTTCTCAGCATCCTCATTATTTGTTCCTACTCATAAACATGTTCACTCACAAGGGAATTATAGCCTCAGAAATCAAGCTCCTCTATTTTTGGATGTTTTTCCTCCTACAGAATTCATCTCAATATGTTCAAGCTAAATTTTTTCTCTTAAATTTCCGGCATTGAATCAGAGTACTACTCTCTGCAGCCCAATCTGCTCTTTTTTATTGTAATTATTCCAGTGTTTGTAAACAGCCCTTACTGCCTCTAAGTGCTTCTCTAATACTAAATAAAGTTGATAGACTTCTCCCTCACTCTCCTCTTACCCTTTGCTAGAGGCAATCCAGGTTCTTGTTGCCCTTCTGCTCCATGTGGGTAAAGCCATTACATGACAATTTAGGCTTATTGCCATCTTGATCTCAACTATATATTTGATTTTGGGGTGTTTTTTTTTTTTCTGTCAGTCATGGGGCTTGAACTCTGAGCTTAAGCGCTGTCCCTCAGCTCAAGGCGAGTGCTCTACCTCTTGAGCCACAGTGCCACTTCCAGTTTTCTGGTGGTTTATTAGAGATAAGAGTCTCACGGACTTTGCTTGCCCGGGCTGGTTTTGAGAGTCTCACGGACTTTCCTTGCCCGGGCTGGTTTTGAACCGCGATCCTCAGATCTCATCCTCCTCAGTAGCTAGAATTACAGGCATGAGCCACCGACGCCCGGCTTATATTTGCTTTTTTAAAATCATCATAGATTTGCTACAAAAGGGTATTTCATTGTGCCATGCATATATATACTGTACTCCAGCAATCCCCTATTAACTCTGTTACCACCTCTTCCCTTCCTAATACAATTTCAAGCAATGTTATTGTTGCTTTCATGGATGGAGACCATCTATTCTGACCATATTCATTCTCTTACCCTTGTTATCACAACGCCCTCTCATGGGTTCCCACCCCTCCAAAAGAGCCTGTTTCTCTTTCCCCTCCTCCAACTCCCCTACTATATTTGTTTATACTTATGTATAAATTATGGTGGACTCATATTGATGACTCCAGTCCTAATACTTCCTGGTACATACGATGGCATAACAGAATTTTGCTTTAAAACTTAGTGGCTTAAACAGTCATTTTATTTTGCTTGTATTGTTGTTGATTAGACAATTCAAAAGTGTTCAGCTACGTGATTCTCTCATTTGGGGTTTCATATAATCACGGCTAACTGTTGCCGGAGACTGTAATTCTCCAGCGGCAGAATGTGGCTGAGTGTCGATCACCGGGCTGACAGCTGGTAACGGGCTATTACATGGGGCTTTCTGTTGGAATAGCTGCATTATGGCCTTTCTATGACCATAGGTTTTGTGTCATTCATTTACTTACTGCTGATCTGTGTGGTTTTCATTGGATGTATTGGGAGATTTGTTTTACGTGGTCACCATTGTATCAGATTTTCAAAAGCTTACCTAATTACTTTTTTGTTTTGGTTTTGTTTTCTTTTGATTTTGACATAGAGTCTCACTGTGTATCCCAGGCAGGCCTCAAATGTGCCCATCCTCCTGTCTCAACCTCTCATGTGCAGGGATCATAGATCTGAACTACCATGCCCAGCTCTTTAACTACATTTTAATTTCTCTTATATAACACTCTGTAATGTGCTCTATCTAATTGGTAGAGTGGTTTTGTTTCACCTGATTTTGCTGAACTTTTAAGTATAAATTAATTTATTTTCTGCCAATTCTGGGGCTTGAACTCAGAGCCTGGCTGCTGTCCCTAAGCCTCTCTGTGCTCTATGATAGCGCTGTACCACTTGAGTCACAGTGCCATTTCTAGCTGTTTATGAGTAGTTTATTGGAGATAAGAATCGAATGGAAGTTCCTTCAAACCACAGTCCTCAGTATCCTGAGTAGCTAGGATTATGGGTGTGAGCCACCAGCACCTAGCTAAACATAGTTTTTTTTGGGGGGTCCAGTCATGGGGCCTGAACTCTGGACCTGGGCACTGTCCTTCAGCTCTTTAGCTCAAGGCTAGCACTCTACCACTTGAGCCACAGCGCCACTTCCGGCTTTTTTCTTTTTGCTTATGTGGTGCTGAGGAATTGAACCCAGGGCCTCATGCATGCAAGGTTAGTGCTCCACCACTGAGCCACCTTCCCAGCTCCAAAATTTTATAACAAAAGAAGTACAATTATTTCACCCTTATATATACAACTAATGCCAACATTTTGTTCCTGATACTTAGAACAAAAGAGGGAACATCCTTATTCAGGGCCATATTTTGTTTTTGTTGTTTGTTTTTAGACAGGGTCTCAACTCAAGAATGCCTGTGCTTCCCAAGTCTTGGGGTTACAAACATGTGCCCTTATGCCAGCTATGTGCTATATTTAGAAATACTATTTTCCTGTATATTGCTGTTGAAATTAACTATGTTTCTGAGTGTGGTGGCACATATTTACAACTCCAGCAAACTGAAATAGGAGGGTTGTAAATTTGAGGCCAAGCTGCCCGACATAGTAAGATTTTGTCTTAAAGCAACAGAAAAAGAAAGAAAATGGAAGGGAATGAGAAAGAGGTTAACCATGTTAACTTTAGTAATTTGATAAAACTTTTCTTTGAAATACCGATGAGTTTTAAAAGCATACTAAATTTGGAGGGATAATAAAATGATAACACTTTTAGGAGCTAATTAAGATTTTGCCAAATTGTATGAGATTTTATAGATTAAAAATTAATTTTTAAGTGGCCAGGTCTTCAGTAAAACAAATCTTTGGATGTGTTAAAGCTCCTTTAAGTTTGGTATACTTATACAGTGATCAGCTGAAATGGTTTTAACTAAATGCCTCAGCCACATTAATGCTAATCACTTGTTCTTAAATAGTCATTTTTATTCAGTCTCATTATTTTAGTTTTAATATCTAGATTATGGATGTATATGGATTCAGGTTTCTAGTAGACAGTGGTACATTTGGGGCCTCATGACGTGATGTTTTATTGCAGATGCTGTTGCATGAAAAAGCTGAGGCTTTGCAAGAAGAAGTAGAAGAATTACTGAGGCTGCCCTCTGATTTCCCTGTTGTGGCCCCTTCTATTGAAGAGGAATGAAGTTCTGTGATGCACATTTTCAAATCTAAATTATTTATTATATACATATTTTATTAAAGAATCCTTAAAATTTATAAATGACAAATATATCTTAATTATATGTTGAGTATTGTGGTTATATTTAAATCTGTCTCGCTCGTAATTACCATAACCTTCTCACTAATAATCTGTCTTCTTCAACATTATCTCCCTGTGAAAATTCTTCCTCAGCATAGCTCCATCGTTACTGTACCTCTCATTATTCTCTTAATCTATGCAGGCTAAGCACACACTCCACCTCTGAGCTGCACTCCCAGCCCGCTCTTACCCATTCCCTTCATCAAACTGGACTATTTGAAATCCCCAAACTTTCCCTGCCATTTCCAGACTTCCATATCCTAAAACTGCCTTATGTGATTGCCAGTAAATGAAAATGTGAAAATGAACCATGCATTTCTAGTGTCAAGTAAAAATGTTTGAATACTGTCTATGAAATTATCTTATATTCATCCTAATACAGGTGCTTTTTCCTTTCTTCAAGCATTGTGAGTCTTTTTTTTTTTTTTTGGTCCAGTCATGGGGCCTGAACTCTGGGCCTGGGCACTGTCCCTCAGCTCTTCAGCTCAAGGCTAGTGTTCTACCACTGAGCCATCTTCCCGGCCCTCATTGTGGGTCTTTATTTATGCCTTCCCCTCTGCCCCTTCCCCCAGCTTCTTTTTGTTCATTATCTTTGATGCCACATAGCATCTACTAGACTGCATTCCACAAACAGAAACCTCTGTGAAGAATGAATGCTACCAGATTAGCAACTTAATATTACCTGTCCCAATCAGAATTATAATTCTAGCATAGACTTTTCAAGTAAGCCCACAGTCAAGGTTCTTTGTGACTTAGCATTTTAAACTTAAATATTACAGGCATCTACACACCAGATGCCAGTGGTTCACGCCTATAATCCTAGCTACTCAGGAGGCTGAGATCAGAGGATCGCAGTTCAGAGCCAGCCCGGGCAAGAAACTCAGTGAGACTCTTTATCTCCAATTAACCACCAGAAAACCGGAAGTAGCGCTGTGGCTCAAGTGGTAGAGTGCTCGCCTTGAGCTGAAGAGTGCAGGGCCAGTGCCCAGGCCAGAGTTCCAGCCCCATGACTAGCAACAACTATAGCACTTTCTATGTGCCAGGTACTAGTCTGGATAGTTTCTGTGACTTAACTAGTTTAATCCCTTCAACTACCAAGTAAGCCAAGTACTAGTATTATCCTCACAATAAGTTACAGGTGAGAAAGCTGAAACAGCAGGAGTAACTTGCCCAGGCCATAGAGTGGGAAAAGAACAGGGATTCAGATCCATGCAGTCCAAGCCTAAAGTCCATGCAGTTACTCATATACTACTGTCTTGATAGATGATGTGCCCACGTTTTCCCTTCCTAAGTATTCCTGTCATCTAACTTCACTTTTCTTCCTAGCATTATATGCCATTATTGTGCCCCATTCTGGATTGTCTTTATACACATCAAATATGACATCCTAATGTTTCAGTAGAATCTTGGGTGCCACTGCACATGCTCCATTTGTAGCAGCTACTTTGTCTTTGGTAAAAGCAACTTCTAAGGATTTCTCAGAGGTGCTGAGATACTCTGCTTTCTGGCATTAGTGCCGCAGGAGTCCTCAAAAGAGGTGATAAGTTTTGCTTCTGAAGTCCTGAGTTCTTGAGCATCTGGCCGAGAAGCTGGTTATTTAATGATTCAATTTCTGACTTTGCCAATAGTTTTCCAGTTTCCTTTTTTAAGTAGGTGGATTCCTGTGTTCTGCAGTGATTTCATGGCCAACTCGGTAGATGTGAGACAGCCGCGCTGTTCTGCTGGTGTGGGGTCGCACAGGAAGGTCTTGCCAGTGTCTTCCCACTCAGTATCATAGGCTTTGCTGCACTTGTTGCACTTGACGCTTCTGCTCAGCATGCATCTTTGTAAAGTGCTACTGTACAAGAGAAAAATGAGAACATCCTTCAACTAGACAGCAATAGAATTTTGGTACAGTATTCAATTGACTATGAATTGACTATGGCATCCCTGGCATCCTTCAGACAGTGGTTCTTGACCAGGTCAGGTGCTTGTTGAGCACAGGACTGCTGAGCAGGTTCTTACTGCAGCCGTGCACGGTGCACAAGATGTTGATCCACATGGGACAGCCCCTCACGGCTGGATCAGCTCCCAGTTCATGGGCAGCAGCCTCTCAATCATGGCCCTTGGGACAGCCAGGCCACCATAGCTCCTCCATCGCTCCATACCTACTATTTCTTTCTTTCTTTTTCTTTCTTTCTTTTTTTTTTTGGTTGGTCGTGGGGCTTGAACTCTAGGCCAGGGCGCTGTCCCTCAGCTCTTCAGCTCAAGGCGACTGTTCTACCACTTGAGTCATAGCACCACTTCTGGTTTTCTAGTGGCTTATTGGAGATAAGAGTTTCATGGACTTTCCTGCCCAGACTAGCTTTGAACCTTGATCCTCAGATCTCAGCCTCCTGAGTAGCTAGGATTACAGGCGTGAGCCACCAGCGCCAGGCTTCCATACCTACTATTTCTATTTGCAATATTTTTGTTTTGTTTATGTGTCAATCTTGGGCATGAACTCAGAGCCTGGATGCTATTCCTGTACTTTTTTTGCTTCAAGCTAACACTCTACCACTTGAGCCACAGGTCCATTTCAGGCTTTTTGATGGTTAATTGGAGATAAGAGTCACACTGAGTTTCCTAGCTTCAAACCCCAATCCTCAGTTCTCATTCTCCTAAGTAGCTAGGATTATAGGCATAAACCACCAAAGCCCTGCTTGTTCACAATATTTTAAATTGAACTTATATCTAATGAGATGTTTTTTCTTCTATCCTGTCAATGACAGGAAGTTCCTCATTAATTAAAACAAGAAGAAAGATGCAACTACCACCAACAACTGGACATTTTCTCAAGCCTTCACTCTTTAAAATGGCAGCAAATACATTCTTACAATAAAGTTATGAAACTAGGCTCACAGCAACTTACGTGTAAAATAGATATAATGCTATATGCTAAATGCTTTCCTTTTGTGGTAATATATGATGTTAAAATCAGACAAAATTAGGAACAAATTCGCAGGCAATTGACTATTCATTCTGTGCCAAATGTCATAACACTACCTTGACTATGTATAAATTCCTAGGAGTTATTGTCTGCCCTAGAAATAAGGTGTTCAACATCATTTTGTAGAAATTTGTCAAAGCTATTTGGAAACAGTGAAAATATTTAGGTGCATTTTACTGACTCATTTCAATATTTTTAGCCTGATGCCAGGTACTGGTGGTAAATAAAGTGAAATATCCTTATTTCCTGTAGGAACAGTAAAGTACAAATAAAGGAACTATGAGCCACTGATAAATGTGACATGAAGAATGAAATATGAGTGCTCTGGGCACCATGTGAGAGAAGCAGAAGAGTCTGAGGGGAACTGTGAGAGGTAGATGTTGAAGGACAAGAGAATCAGGCATGTTAAGGATGATAAAACATTTGCAGGAGATGGGCATGGGTGCTCTTTCAGCAAAGAATACAATGGCAACCATGAGACACAGTACACTGGAATTCTTAGAGCAACAAGAAGCCACAAAGGCACAGTTTGCATGGAGCCATCTCTGCTTTCTCATCTGGTGTCCCCTGTGATCAAGGAAAGGCATGTGTGACATGGGTGTACTGATGTGATGGTAACATGGACACCGTCATATGAAATTTAAGCTCCCAATCTTGTCCCCAGTCGCTCTGTGGTCCATTTATGCTGAGACAAACAGAAAATGCATCTCTTCTTTGCCCAAGGTAAAGTTCAATGCCAGTGTAAAGCATGAAAAATAGTTTGTTCTGTAAAAACCCTGAGCTTTTTTTTTTTTGGAGGGGTGGGGAAGGGTTGGTCTTGGGGCTTGAACCCTGGGCCTGGGCACTGTCCCACAGCTCTTCAGCTCAAGGCAAGTGCTCTACCACTTGAGCCACAGCACCACTTCCAGTTTTCTGATAATTAATTGGAGATAAAAGTCTCATGGACTTTCCTACCCGGGCTGGCTTTAAACCATGATCCTCAGAACTCAGCCTCCTGAGTAGCAAGGATTACAGGCGTGAGCCACCGGCGTCCAGCTTAACCCTGTGAAGGGAAGAGGTCTGGTATAAACTGAGCTCAGGTTCCATTTTTGCTGGGGCAGCTGGATGAGGAACAAGTGGAAAGACTAAATTTGTTAATTGTGCTTATCTGGAGGAGATGCAAACTTCCCGCACTTAATGACAGGAGGTGAGTTAGAGAAAGGTGTCCAGGCTGAGAACAGATGTCATTTCCGTGATTGTTTGCATCCCAAAAGTCTCTCAGGTCTTTGACAGTTCTGTGTGGTAGAAGATCCACATCTCAAAGGGGAAGAGCAAGGATCTACAATTGCAGGCTTTTGCGCACTCTTTTATGGCTGGGGAAAGGTCAGAGACCTGTCACTAAGTTTGACTGGAAATCTAGTAGCACCAAGCTTTCTCAGGAAGACTCTGAAAGAGAATTTGGAGTAATCCTGAGGGTTGGGTTCTTAGAGTCATATTAGTGTCATTCAAGTCTTTTAGCTGGAGTTATGTGGAAGTGAGCAAAATCATTTGTGACAAGGGTTTGTGCCAGGCCTGGGACTTAAACCCAGGGCCTAGGTGCTGTCCCTGAGTTAGTTTGCTCAAGACTAGTGCTTTACCACTTGAGCCGTAGCTCCACTTCTGGATTTTTCTGGTAGTTAATTGGTAATAAAAGTCTCACAGACTCCCCAGCTGGCTTTGAACCATGATTCTCAGATCTCAGTCTCCTGAGTTACCAGGATTACAGGGCGTGCACGACTAGGACCCAATAAATTTCTTGTTTTTATAGGCCAAAGACTGAGTCTGTCCGGTCAAGAAGAGAGTCTTTGCCATCCTCCAATATTTGTTCTAAATGCTCCATTTAGCTGACTTACCAATTCAGATTGATATTTTATTTCCTTCAATCCATTATAAATCTAGGTCCTGGCCTTTAGGCTAACTTAATTTTGGTATATTTTAATGCATAAATTCTCTAAATTGGAATGCTCCCCAAACAGGAAGAACAGCATAGTCATT